GACTTATGAAGGCCTGTAATGATGATGATGATTAAAATTTCGGGCATCACTCATTTTGTCAAAGGCATTAAAATAGTTTCCTTACATAAATAAAACTGTCCAATATGAACCAAGAGTGAGTTCCTAGGTTTAATGTTTGAATGAATGAATGAATATACTTTATAGCATTAGCATTGAAATTTAACCGACATCGTTCCTTAACTTCATATGATGAACGGCTAAAACATTTCCGTATATCTTCCTTATATAACAGGCGGAAACTTTTGGATTTGAGCTTCCTCTATAAACTGTGCAATAATGACATCGACTGTTCTCAATTACTGAAAATGGTTAACATTAATGCTCCAAGCAGATTACCACGATTGTATGTCTACAAGCTGTTTATGGTCCCACCTCATAGGACTAACCTCGGTCTTAATTCAGCATTATGCAGAAGCTTTAGACTGTATAATGATATATCTAGGCCTTCTGATTTAGATATTTTCAATGACAATTTAAATATTTTCAGAAGAAAAATGTTACTTTATTTAGAATCTTAATGATGAATGTAAACCCTTTTTAATTTATCATAAATACGCAATTTTGCTACTGTAATATTAAATTTTATGATAATTAACTTTTCGCAACATTACTCTGTGTAAGCTGTGGTTGCCTATAACTGGGTGAGCACATTTCATGTTTCTCTCAATGCTTGGATCTTGTTTTTAGTATCTGTGTATCATCTGTCGGTGACCCTTATAAATAAATAAAGAAAAAGGTCATATGAAATCTGGGAGAGAATGTCTATAGGTAAGTTAGCATCAAAGTATTGATGATTGCAATTACATTTTTTGAACGTTCCGGATCAAACGTTTTTTACGTGATAGAGCCATGCTGCAGCTATATTAGTAGTATAGTTGTAGCACAAATGCGTCGACTCGACCGGGGAAGGACCACGCTCTCACAGAAAACCAGCGTAAAATAGCAGCTTAACGCTGCTGTGTTTCGTATGGTGAGTGTAGAGAACCGGAGACCCTTTTTACTGGCAAAGAGGCGTTCCATCTTAGTCCTCACGGGTGACAACGCATTTGCATCTTGAGTTTTTATTGAGGATAGATGTAGATGTCTATGGGTCACAGTAACCACTTACCATCAGGTGGACTGTGTGCTCGATTGTCACCCTATTCTATAAAAAAAAAACGATTGACAGGACCTACGACCAAAGAGTGTGAGTATGGAGTATGCGACCGACATTATCGAGCGGGTCTCACGGATCACAGAGTAGTGAAACTCGAAATGATCTATTTAATTGATCGAACCGAATGACCCAGTTCGTAAGACGAATCAATAATTTGATGATCGGGTCACTAAAAATGAATGAATGACACATGTCTACCAAAAGGAATTAAGTCTTCCCTTTGTAATTTATTTTGCTCTTTCGACCTTATGATTTCTCTTTATATAATCCTTTTAGTTAAGTTGTACAATTAAGAATAAATAAATAAATAAAATAAAAATTATCCTTATGAAGAAAGATTATTATAAATTTGATTATTATTTAAAAGATAACATATTAAATCGAAATTTGGGCGGTGCTGCAGTCCCTTCAGCGGTGCCAAGTTTTGACTGTCGGTATTTCGAAGTGCTGAAGTGTTTGTACAGTAGGGCTACGATGGCTATCCGAGTACAGAACCAGAGTAGGAAACCTATCCAATTGCAGAGAGGTGTAAGACAGGGTGACGTTATATCCCTGAAACTCTTCACCGCTGCAGTGGAAGACGTTTTCAAGCTTCTGGACTGGAAAGGATACGGTATTAACATCAATGGCGAGTACATCACTCACCTTTGATTTGCCGACGATATAATCCTTATGGCAAAGTCATTGGAGGACCTAAGCACTATGCTCAATGACCTCAATAGTGTCTGGGAGAAACTATTGAGATGAGTAGTAACTAGTAGAAGAGAGAGAAATATCTTAAGATGAACATGGACAAAACAAAAGTCATGTGTAACGTCCATCTGCACACCTATACCGGTAGCTATTGGGAGCACTAAGCTCAAAGTTATTGACGAGTGTGTTTACCTGGGACAAATATTCCAACTAGATAAGTACAACTTCGACCAAGAGGTCAATTGACGAATTCAACTCGGCATGGCAGCGTTCAGGAGATTACGACACATCTTCTCGTCAGACATACCTCAAAACGTCATAACAAGGTTGTTCAACCAGTGCGTATTGCGAGCGATGACCTATGGAACTGAGACGTGGTCCTTCACTCCTGGCCGTATAAGGAAGCTCAACGTCGCTCAGTGAGCTATGGAGAGGGCTATGCTCGGAGTTTTTCTGCATGATAGATTTAAAAAAGCGGACATCCGCAGTAGAACCAGAGTAACCGACATAGCTCAAAGAATTAGTATGCTGAAATGGCAATGGGCCGGCCATATAGCTCGAAGAACCGACAACCAATGGGGAAGAAAGTTCTCGAGTAGCAGCCTCGTACCGGTAGGCGAAGTGTAGGGCGTCCCCGCTAGATGGAGTGACGACCTGATGCGGGTGGCTCGGAACTGTGCTTTATGACATTCCTTGGGGGAGGCCTATGTTCAGCAAAGGACTTGTGATGGGTTATAATGATGATGTTGATGACAATTTTGTATTAAAATACTAGATTTTGATAAGAAGCAGACTGCCTCTTTGGTTCAGTGTAGGGAATGCAATGTCATTCTCGCGAGATCTCCACCTCGTCCTTATTGTACTCAATCTCGCGGGATTGCGAGATTGAGCGAGATTTCCTATATTATAATCCTAAACCAGTGGTCGTAAGTGCGACTGCTGACTTTGTGGTTCTGGTTTGAATCCCGGGTAGGACCAAAAACAGTTATTGGGTTTTACAGACAATATATTCTCAGTAGGTGCCTGGAGTAAGGAATTTGCAGTGAGGAAGCGGTGTTTCATCATTGTTCCTTGAAAATCACGTTAAGCCGTTAGTCCTGCACCTGATCTTTCTTGGCCGTGTCGGATTTACTCACCCTCATTATCCAATGTATTATGAGAGTGGGGGAATAGAGAGTGCACCTGTGCTTGCACACACACTAATGCAATTTAATCCTGTCCATGGCTAGTCTCCAGTAAGACTGGCCCCGCCGTGCCGGAATTCGTTATGTAGGATATTATTATTATAAAGAAAAATGGTGGTACTGTATTTTTATTAGAAGAGGGGGCAAACAAGCATGCGTTTAACTGAATTAGACTAGCTGTTCTATGCTGACTGCTGTGGAATTTATAACGATTGGACTCGTGAAGGGTTTTTAATTTTTTTTTGCGCGGAACTCTAATTCTTTTTCTAAAATAAAAGGTTTATGTTACTCCTTATAACATCCGTTTTCTGCCAGTGAAAGTCCCGTCAAAATCGTTCCAGCCATTTCGGAGAATAGCCGGAACAATCAGACAAAAATTTTAGAATTTGTTTTTTTCTAGTTATAAGTAGCATATATATTGTCTTTACATTACAAACAGACATTTATCAGAAGCATTTGCTTTGCCTACATTAAAAAAATAATCGGCTCTTTTATTAACGGTCTCTAACACATATCGGTCCTAACTTCGCAAGTTACTGTAGATTTTACAAAGCAGTCGAAGGCTCAGAGGCGTAGCGTGGACTTACATAGACGTTTGCGAAGTCGCACCAGCGAGGCCCCTTTTCTTTCGTTCCCAGGATCTACCCAATAGATCTATCCTACTAAACGTGCTTTGACACGACATATCTACTCCTAGCTATTAATTCCTGACTTTCTCGTACGCCGTCAATCAGACGGTCGTGGTCTTTGAAGGTAGTTACAACGGCCTCGCAGTCGCACTGAAGAGATCTTCTTGCGAGGCCCCAAACAAATACACTTTTAAATTAGTGACGTTTCATTTTCGAGCGTAAACGTCATCAAATTAATTAATCATCTGTGGGAAAGTTTGCGAGCATCGCATTTTAAGGGGCCTTGCGAGGCACCTTTAAGTGCTTTAAGAGCAGGTACACCACTGTGAAGGCTGAAAAATTCTGGAATATCGCATAATGGTGCACCGCCGGACATCCAGATGGTGTAGATTGATAATTTCGTCGCAATGTGCGATGATGATGTGGCCGGTGGAAGGAAAAGGGGAGATCTCCCGCCGGGCAAGATGTTCTACCCGGGAGCGGCCAACAGCTATAGGTGGTAGCTCGGAGCTATTCTATATATATACTGCTTTAACTTCGAAACTTTGATTGCGCGATTTAGGCTTCGATGTGTTTTCGCTTGTGGCGCGACAACAGCGCCGCCACAATAACATATAGTGCCTGATTTTTTTCTGAACAATTCCTCGGATCATTCCCGTGGTAATTATATAAAAAATAAAATTATGTATGACTAGTTACCCGCCCCGACCTTGCCTGGGTAGGATATTATTTAGATTCAAGGTAATCATCACAGCCCATTTGTGTTTACAATTTTTCGATTTCAGAAAAAATCTCCCGATATTTCGGATAAAATATGAACTAGATCACTCTTGGCATTGCTCGCTATCTGTTCGGCAAGTTTCATTACAACCGGTTCAGCCATTCCGAAGATTACCCCGTACAGACCGATAAACCAACGGACGGACATAAATTTTATGGCGTATGGTTATTTATGACGACAATAATTTTTTTATCATATCCAAATGTTACTAACACTAGATCGTAGTTATAAAAAACAGAGGCAGCCATAAGGACTGCCGACATAAGTGAAAACTCAATGATATATGCGTATACATATACACAGGCCGCGTTGTGGATATTCTCCTGCTTATGACGTATTGCGCGCAAGCGCAATCAAGCATGTCGAGGTCATCGGTGACGCGTTAGTTTTTCCCCTACCAAAATTCGCTCAACGCGGCTAAAGAACATTTCATTTCAAAAAAAAATTTCTTGCTACAATGTACGCTTTTTTACCGATATAAATTTAACATTATTATTATTAATATCGTCTAATACGAAACCATTATTCTGTTACAGGAAATGTCCAACGCGACAGGTGTTTATACGAGGTGGAAGGTCGCACTGCATTGACTCCTGCAACGCTGAGACCATGTGTGGGGAAGTCAGAGTACCAGAATATCACTTAAATGTAAGTAGTTCTATAAACATGTTTGAAACGTCTCATTGCTGAGTCAATAGACGATCTGAATGCACTTAGTTTAATTAATAAGCCATAATGAAATAACGATTGACACGATACATATCCATCCACCCATTCATTATTCATCATCATTACAATCCATCACATGTCCACTGCTGAAGGCCTCCCCCGAGGAATGCCACAAAGCACGGTCCCAAGCTACCTGCATCCATGGACTTCCTGGATGTCTTACCAGGTCGTCACTCCATCTAGTGGGGGGTCGCCCTACACTTTACCTACCGGTACGAGGTTGCCACTCGACGAGAACCCTTTTTCCCCATCGGTTGTTGATTCTTCGAGCTATATGATCGGCCTATTGCCACTTCAGCTTACTAATCCGTTGGGCTATGTCGGTCACTATGGTTCTACTGTGGATATCATCATTTCTAAGTTTATCACGCAGAGAAACCCCGAACATAACCCTCTCCATAACTCGCTGAGCTATAAAAGTCCATTCATTACAGTCTATAAAAGTTGATTGCTAAACATAGGTAAATTTTATATTTTTTTTGACTTGTTAAGGCGCAGGTTTAGCAAAATGTCGCGCTAGTCGTTATTTGTGCTGTTTTTAAGAGCTATCTACTTTTTATTTAAAAGATATATCAACAAATAAAAAACACATTATATTTCTACATAATCTTGATTCCATAAAAGCTATATCCAATTTTTTTTTAAAGGAATAAATATTAATATAATCTCCTTACAACGAAACCACATAAATGTGAAATTATTATTGATAACATGCATCTCCTCGTAAAGTAAGTATTATTTTATTTTGCGATTTACACCAATGGATAGGCAATTTATTAATGAACATTTCTATAGTAAATTTTTTTTCAAAAGACCAAAATTCGATTTTATTAAGAATTTATTTTAAAATCTGGGCATATTCACTGCTCACGGGCTTGCTGAAGTCAGTGAGCCCTGAGCTCTTCGACGTGAAGCTCGTGTCGTTAGAGCGTCGATCAGCACATACACTCACGTAATATCAGTCGAGAATAATATTACTTATTAGGTTATTTATAGGTAGTATTATTTGTTTGTTTTGAGTATAATTTTTCGTATGACTTATACATATGTTTGTTGTATTTTTTACTGCGCGATGAAGCTTTTTGCGTGTATTTTTTTTGAAGTAAATGCAAATAAAAAAATGAAGCACCATTAGCATGTAAGGTTCGAATCCATAATTAAAATTTCGACAAATATTATAATTTACACTATAAAAGGCTAATTGAATATTATCACCCAACCACAATATCTTATTAAGTATAGTACTGCCTCATTGGTCTAGTGGTTGTAGTAGTGCGACTTCTGATCAAGAGGTCCCGGGTTCGAATCCTGGGTCGGGCCAAAAAGTCAGTTATGAGTTTTTCATTTATGTTCTAAGTTATAATTAGTATTACTAAGTTATAGTTTTTTTGCTAAAATATAGTATATTATTTATGGCTTGTTTTTTCTTCTTTTTCAAAAAATAATTGAGTACATAAGGTGTTCTATACTTATAATTCGGTAAAAAGTATCTAAGTAGGTACTAATATACCTACTTTTTACTATTAACTAAAAATTTTTAAAACTAAATTTAACTAAAAAGACTAAACTGACCATTTATTTTTTAACTCAAAACAGGACATGGGTTTATTTATACTCTAAAAACTATAACTTTATACAATTAGTGTTCACTGTAAAATTATATTCGGTATAGACGGTAATTATTAAATGCAACATATTTTTTTTTAATTATTAATTACATTTGTAAGTGGATTAAATTTGCTTTAATAAAGTTGGTGATGATTTTAAATAAAAATAAAATTCTGCTCAAGTTTTTTTATTGTTATCTTTGTTAACAACATCGCCTTTAGAAGTTCTGTTAAGCTGGAATGGTCATTTGGACAAAATCACTTAAATTTTTGCTAAATATTTAGTGCTCATTTAGTGCTAATTTAGTGCTGCAAATTTAAATTTCACGCCAAAATAGCTTGATCAAAAATTAGAAAACTGCTAGCTTTTAATTAAGGTAGCAGTGTTCTACCTATTAAAACGATAACCGCTTAATACAGCACCGAATAGAAGCATCAATAATTTAGTGCTCATTTAGTGCTGCCGATATACGCAAAAACAAATATTGAGAATATATATATATTTTTTAATATCATAAATTCTGCTACTTTGACATCTTTAGCAGAGTATGTAAAGAAAAAATTGACATCCAAGGTGGATTATCACCTAATGATATGAGATAATAATTTAGTGCTCATTTAGCGCTGCCGATATACGCAAAAACTAAACTTGGGAAAATATTTATTATTAATAATAAATATTATAAATAAGATTGGACTGGTAGCGATCACCGAATGGTTAGAGGCACACTGAACCTAAACGTTAAGTTGGAGAGGTCTCGTCTAATGAAGTCAACGCTCCGTCCCCCTCGTGCTCTGTTTCAAAGTCCCGAAACCTTTCAGCTCGAGTTACAAAACCGTTTTCAGTGCCTAGAAGACTGCAATGAAGTGGACGATATGAATGACAAGCTCGTGGAAACTGTCCATGCGGTTGGAGCTAAGTTCTGCAAGACCCGCCGCAGAAGAACACAAAAACTCTCCGATCACACTCTTAATCTCATGGCTGTTAGACGGGAGATGAAGCTACATTCTTCAACAGACTTGACAGCATACAGGCATCTGAACAGACAGATCTCCAAATGCATGCGGCGGTACTTACGCAACTTCAATACAGCTCGTATTGAAGAAGCGATCGAGCGGAACCAAGGCTCCAAAGTCTTTGCCAGAGATCTGTCTGCCAGAAAGAGCCAACTGTCAAAGCTGAAGACAGAATGTGGCAGCATCGTTTCCGGGACACCTGAGATTTTGAGTGAGATTGAGAGGTTCTATGGGCAGCTGTACACATCATCGTTGGAGCCACACGCAAGTGTGAGTAACGATCCAAGAGCGAGTCTCATCCGACACTATTCCGAAGATATCCCGGATGTCAGTCTGAGCGAGATTAGGATGGCTCTCCAGCACCTTAAAAACGGTAAGGCCCCAGGCGAGGATGGAATTACAGCGGAGCTTCTGAAAGCGGGTGGAAGACCGGTACTTGAAGTCCTTCAGAAGCTCTTTAATTCCGTCCTCCATGGTGGCATTACACCGGAGGCGTGGAGCAGAAGTGCGGTGGTCTTGTTCTTCAAGAAAGGTGACAACGCTCTCTTGAAGAACTACAGACCGATTTCCCTTCTGAGCCGCGTCTACGTGCTGTTTTCGAGAGTCATTACGAATCGTCTCGCGCGCAGACTTGACGACTTCCAGCCTCCCGAACAAGCCGGTTTCCGAAAGGGCTTTAGCACCATAGACCACATACATACCCTTCGGCAAGTTGTACAGAAGTCCGAAGAGTACAATTTGCCACTATGTCTGGCGTATGTGGACTATGAGAAAGCCTTTGATTCCGTCGAAATTTGGGCGGTGCTGCAGTCCCTTCAGCGGTGCCAAGTTGACTGTCGGTATATCGAAGTGTTGAAGTGCTTGTACAGTAGGGCTACGATGGCTATCCGAGTACAGAACCAGAGTACGAAACCTATCCAATTGTAGAGAGGTGTAAGACAGGGTGACGTCATATCCCCGAAACTCTTCACCGCTGCATTGGAAGACGTTTTCAAGCTTCTGGACTGGAAAGGATACGGTATCAACATCAATGGCGAGTACATCACTCACCTTCGATTTGCCGACGATATAGTCCTTATGGCAGAATCGCTGGAGGACCTAAGCACTATGCTCAATGACCTCAATAGTGTTTCCCAACGGATAGGTCTTAAGATGAACATGGACAAAACTAAGATCATGTTTAATGTCCATGTCACACCTATGCCGATAGTTGTTGGGAACACTAAGCTCGAAGTTGTTGACGAGTATGTTTACCTGGGACAAATAGTCCGACTGGGTAAGTCCAACTTCGACCGAGAGGTCAATCGACGGATTCAACTCGGCTGGGCAGCGTTCGGGAAGCTACGACACATCTTCTCGTCAGACATACCTCAAAACCTTAAAACGAAATTGTACAACCAGTGCGTGTTGCCAGTGATGACTTACGGAACTGAGACGTGGTCCTTCACTGCTGGCCGTATGAGGAAGCTCAAGGTCGCTCAGCGAGCTATGGAGAGGGCTATGCTCGGAGTTTCTCTGCGTGATAAACTTAGGAATGAGGATATCCGCAGTAGAACCAGAGTGACCGACATAGCCCAACGGATTAGTAAGCTGAAGTGGCAGTGGGCCGGCCATATAGCTCGAAGAACCGACAACCGATGGGGAAGAAAGGTTCTCGAGTGGCAGCCTCGTACCGGTAGGCGAAGTGTAGGGCGTCCCCCCACGAGATGGAGTGACGACCTGGTAAGACATGCAGGAAGTCGATGGATGCAGGTGGCTCAGGACCGTGTTTTGTGGCATTCTTTGGGGGAGGCCTATGTTCAGCAGTGGACTTGTGAAGGGCTGTAATGATGAATGATGATGATGATACCGAATAAAAAAATTAAAATACATTTATCGTTGTACGCTGTGCGTATTTCCATAAATTAGTTTATTGATGTTGAAAAAATAATACTACATAATAGGTGGCGTCTTAAATAAGCAATATATTGAAGCGAGCGAGCGGCGTGTCGCCGGCAAATGCTCAAGGTCGTTCGCATGGAGTAGCCCCTTAACATAGATGTTTTTCTAACATCGATCATCCCTACGGACTATTATCGTCAAAATACTACACAGCACGGCTAGCATGGGCTGGGGACAAAAATTTTATCCCGCGATTATACTCATATCCACTGAAAAGAGATAAAATTATTTTTTCCTTATGCCAAAGCACTGCAATGGGGAGAAGTATATCCCCGTTTGACATAACGAGGACATATATCCCCGTCCGTAGCATGGAGCCAAAAAATTATGCTTTTTGACATTTGAAAGGGACAATTCTATGCTAGTTCATTGGACGTGGGTTGAAGTTTATGTTCATACAAAAAATCTATCTAAGTCTAAGTATAGTCTAGTCTCTCCCATTTTATCTACTGTGGATATTATATCCACCGGTGTGCCCATGCTCGAAGAGTGGATAAAACTAAGCGAGTGTATAAACATTTTCTCCTTTCCCCGGGGATAAAATTGTCTCCTGCCCATGCTAGCCTTGCAGTTTTTCCGCCGTCATCACATAGATTTAAAAATTATATTTATTTGATAATCTTTTGGTGAACAAGTTTAATGGTTAAATCAGTAATTTGAAAAAACGCAATTGGACTTTTGTATAAAAGTTTAAGGAAAAAAATCGGTTGTCTGTAAAGTCGGTTTACTGACGATAGTTGAACGTGACAACGCCGATTGTGCCTCTTTGTCGCTCGTTCCGCGCTCTCGCTTGCACTTCGAGCCTTAAATGGAACGCCTCAGAGCGAGGTAACGCCGCATGAGTCATGTTTTTTCGTGCGTGCAGCCAGCTTCATCGAATTATAAGACGTTGTCACGTCAATAAAAAAAACATTATAGCCTAACTTCCACAATTAACATGAATCTAACGACACCTCATATGTTAAAATCCATCTAGCCGATTAAGGGGACTACAAAAGCTAAGTGACCTCGAATGACGCACGCAAACATTCACACTATTTTGTATAGCATCAGGCCTCGGCCGGCACTGTCGGTATAAGGCGTTTACGCACACATGCGTACGTATTACGAGTATGTTCAGAAATAAGAATATAATACGTACGCATGTGATAAATACAATATGCAATTTAAAAAAAATCTATTGATTGGACTATAAAATTAAAACACTATTAAGTTAATATGTTGCTTGTAGAATAATCTGACAAAAAATCAGAATGATTGCGTGTATATTAGTATGGTTTTTATTTGTTAAAAGAAAGTTTTAATGATATCTCTGATTTTTTCCTATCGTGTCATTAGTAGCATTATGTTTTCAACACTCTATCTCTTATATCCTCAAAGATATCATATATTTTTCTGATTTTGTTTACTGCAATGGATCATATACTTTAAGGCATTATAAAACTTGCGTTTAGCTCCTGTAGTCCCCTTAAGCTACAGTGCGTTCTAAATAAATAAACATACATACATACGGGTACATCCAGTATCGCATCTCTCATAGATTGCCTCATAGAGATTTTTTCATAGTTGCAACGCTTATTTATAATGGCAGGCGAGTTGCCAACCGCAGTTTTGGAACGAAGTTCCTTATCGGACGGTACGAATTTGGCGGATGGTAGCTAGGCGAGAAAAAGTGTAAGATTTTTCCGTCACGACCCATTCTGACGTAGTTTAGACGGCCTTGGCGGCTATAAGGAAGCGAGATGGAATAATGTCCATCTCCCTCGCATTTTTCTTATCTTGCCATGAAAGAAAGATTATTTTATTTTAAATGACGCATCATGTTAATAGACGCTAGTAATTCATTTATTTGTATTTATTAATCAAAGATATAATACGTTTATCAATAATAATGTACTACGAAAGGATCTTCGTTCCAACCGAGTGTTCCACGACACTCACGTATGTTTATTTATTATTATTTTCAGATGCATAAAAATAAAAAAGTAATATAGAATAATTTAATTTTTTTTTATATTAATTTAGCACTTATTTTTTCAGCATCTATATATCTGTATCTTGATCTTTTATTTCTTTATTGCCTTTTACTAAGACTCTTTTGGGATTTATTTTCTTTGTTGTATCTTCATTGACTTTGTCTAAATAATTATTTTCAAGGTCCTCCTCCATTTCACTATAACTATACTTTTTGGATAATAATTCATATTCATCATCTTCTTCAATATAGCTATAATTAGTATCTGGTGCTGACTTTTTATCGTTTGATTTTAATTCAGTAATATTTTTGTCATTCTTCAAATCATCTGTAGCTCTATACTGAATACGAGGGCTTTCTTCGTCGTCAATTTCGTTTACTATTCCTTTTAAATGGTTTTTAAAATCTAATTCGTCATTGGTGTCGTTTTCATGTATTTGTAAATAATTTTTATTTTCATTATTTAATGAATTTTCTCCCGATGAATCTATAAGTTTAGTAGAAGGCCTAAAAAGTTCGGCTCGCTCACTGGTGGCTAAAATGTCGTCTTTAGAATAATTAGAGTTTTCAATCGGATTATTATCTTTGGTCTGGGTTTTTGTTGTTTTGAATATACTATAAAAATTGTCAAATTTCGTTGAACCTGTTTTTTCCATATTAGTATACTTAAGTGTATCCATTTCTAATGGATTTTCCACCGAAATATTAATTTCCTTTATAGATTGTTCAATATTTATTTGCGGTTTTTCATAAAGTGATTCTAATGGTTTGTCATGTTTTTCAAATGAATACGTTTCATTATCGTTACCTATTTCAAAATTTCCCTTGTCTTCAATTGGAAATGTTTGAGAATTATACAAATATGGATTTTGATTACTAAGATAGATTTTTGTATTATATGACGAAAAGATGTCATAGTTTTTCGCCTTCTTCCATTCAAATTTCGGAGTCTTCAAATTTTCTTGTATATGACCATATTCGTAACCGAGATCTTTTTCCCTCTTTGGTTTATTTAAATCGATGTCTCGGTGTTTTCCTTTACGAAAATATATACTTCCTGTCGCCTTGTTTTCGGTTCTTGATTCATATGAAATTGAAGAATCTTCATTAACAGAATCACGATTATTATTGCCTTTAATTATTTCAATTTTTTCATCACTACTCGAGTATGAGTCTTTTGGTGGATTATGATACGTGTTCCATTCCTGATTTAAGACGTTTTGTTCGTTTCGTTTATTCTCTGCGGAGATATTTGATGATTTGATAACGCTTGCTTCTGCAATGAACTGAGTTAGCTGATCTGCTACTGAAGCTGGGACAAATTTTCTTGCTATCTTTCTCACGTCTTCTATGTTTGCTGTTAGTAAAACTGCGGAGTATGCTGCATGTGTTATTATTAATAGATGAACACCTGGAAACAAATTTCATATAAATTAGTGGTATTGATATGGCATCGGTACAAAATATGGATAAATTTACAGTTGGATAATATGAATGTAGTAATAACATACTATAGTCCCATGGGTTTCGAAAGATGCGGCAGAGGAAAACAAATTAGATGGGCATCATCTTAATAACAACTATAGATAAAAAATTCGGTTGCAACTCGCAACTATGGCATCCCCCTATGAGGTAATCTGTGGGAGATGCCTATGTTCAGCAGTGGACTTTTGTTAGGCTGCAACGGTAATAATAATATTAGTAATGTAATATATTTGCCGTTACCTTGCAGGGTTATTATTTTGAACTTTTTTTTAAATCAAAACCTAATGTGGGGCAACAATGAGGGCTAATAATCTTTCGCTCACCAGATGTCGCTAGTTGGGACTACGGTGAACTCAGTGTCATCATTATTTAAAGGTTGCGATCTAATTATAAGTTTTTAAGGGGGGAAACAATTTAGGAGATGGGCAGCAGCCTCTTCCTAATCACGGCTAAAATAAAATACTCCAGTTGCCAACTCGCTTGCCAAGCGTGCCAATTATGGCAAATATCCCCCCCTATGAGGCAATCTATTAGTTTTAGACTTTAAAAGGCTGTAACGGTAACGGTATACTCCGAAGGATGGATCAAAGTCTATTTGTAGTCATTATTAACATTTAAGATACTAATATATTTAGAACTTCGATATTACTTCGGATTTAGATCTATTGCGATCAACTTGTGTCGATAACACTGTATTAAAATTTTATCTTACTACGGGTTACTTATTTTGGGGTAAATGATATCATTTTTTTAACCGACTTCAAAAAGAGGGGGTTACTTAATTCAACTGTAAGTTTTTTTATGTTGTGTGTTACCTCATAACTTTTTTCTAGGTGAACCGATTTCGATGATTCTGTTTTTTATTTGAAAGCGTGATCAAGGTTTAAACAATAGTTTTTGAATTATTTCTGGATTTCGACACCATCTACCTAGTCCAACTATAGCTAAGAACTATCTAGATGATCTATAACTACCTCATAAAAATTCCATATAAATCGGCCAAGCCGTTTAGCGGGAGAAGGATTACTAACACACGCACGTCGGAATTTTATATACAACATGATGTAACAAAAACGCTGTGGTTCCCGTCAAGTGCGTTATCAGAATCAGTATTCAAACGTATAGAAATAACGTTACTTCAGAAAACTCGACCATAAAAAATCAGAATAAATGTAAATATTTTTCAAGTGAAATTTTCTTCAGCCGCGTTGAGCGATTTTTGGTAGGGGAAAAACTTATGGGTTCGCGTCACCGATGACCTCGACATGCTCGTGACGTCACGAGAATGTCTACGCGTAGTATAGCGGCCTGTGTACATGGATATTGTATAAGCATGGCTGCCTCTGTTTTTTTTATTTATATGCTAATTGTATTTGATTTTATTATTGTAGTAAGAATATTGTCGAAGACCTCGCTTTACCGATGCGCGTGTCAGTTGGATATAATAAAATCGCAAACAAATTGCAAATAAAAATTAAATTAATAGCTATTTATTGTCGAGTTTCCTGAAGCAAAGTTATTTCTATACTTTTGTATACTGATTACAGCACTTCACGGGAACCCTGTTGGGTTTTTCACATGTTGTATAAAGATTCTCACTTCCATTATCCACGCGGCCCTACCACCACCGCATCAACGATGCGGCCCCGTCAGAGTCCACTCGTTTTCTTCCGCGACTCCACCTCGGCTGCCGCGATAGGGGGAGAGAGCACCCCTCTCGCCGCAGTCCGCCGATACACATCTGAAGTGGGCTCGCCAAGCCCACTCGGAGTGGCCATCGCGCCGGTCCTACACCACTGGCTAGCCATGTGGGTTCCACTTTGTTCGCCGCGGGTGACAAAGCCACGGCTACTAAGCCACGACAAGGCGGGGACACTACAATACTTAACAACATCTTAAAATTGAGTAGCTCTTGAGTATTTGTCCATATGATAGCTAAAAATAGGAGTGTGAATATGTCATAATCATTGACCTTCTTAACTGGTTATGCGTCGGATCAGTTTTCATTAAGACTGTCAAACGATACCTAGTGAAGGGTAGATACAGACTAGTGCACGCAACGAGAGCAAACATTCGCTAAATGTGTAACTCTTAAAAATAATTTTTATTGGAAGAAACTCATCTTTAGCGGTCTTGTTGCGTTTAATTTACTTATATATATATATATATATATATATATATATATATATATATATATATATATATATATATATATATATATATATAGCAAAATAACACAGACTGACTCATTACGAGATCTCTAAAACTATACACCCGATTGACTAGAAATTTAGTATAGTTACTCATTTCGCAATGGAGACGCTCACTAAGAATAGATTTACGATAGTCCCATAAAAAAAAAACGTGTGTGTGTGTGTACGCACTTAAAAAGTTATAGTTCCTTAGCGTAACAAAACAAAATAACTAAAAAAAAACACGTTTCATAGATCCATATATATTTGAATGTTATACCTTCAATGTAGTTATCAGTTCTCACGAAAACTTGACACTTGGAAGGCAATTACTAACTAAACTGTCAGTGTGCGCGCGTATCGAAAAAAATCTTTTTATCTCAAACGCGCCAAAAGAAGTATAACTTCAAAAACTTTCTTGATATTATACATCTAGGTTCCGTAATAAGATATTATTGTGCGTAGTTTTTTATATATTCCCTACATTTCGATTGATCTGAACACCTCCGGGGTACTATGGCTGCAAAGTATTCGAAACGTCGGCACTAGAAAATTAAGTAAACGGGGATAGATACCATACAAGTAAATCAATTTGTAGTATTTGTGAACATAACAAATAACTTCTATTTTCTAGACGGAATCTCTTTTAAACTCAATTTCCTAACTTTACCTAAGTGAACTTGTTTTGATTTTGACAATTATGGTGTTCATAACCACGATGTCATGTTAGAGTTACGGTTGACTTTGTTTAACACCTTTGAAAAGGACTGCTGCGGTTATATGTATTTACAATCCGAATTCATCTTCTGTGCGAAATAAATTTCAATGCCATAGATGTTGTGCTCACGAGATAAGATATAGATAGAATTGTTAGATGCAGTTTTAAATACTAATTTACCGCATGGTTGACGGTGAAGGAAAATGTCATTAGGAAACCTGCTGAAAAATAATTCAATATTTGAGGACTTGTGAAGTCCGAATACTCTAAACCCAGAGAATACTGCTTCTCTATACCTTTCAGACGCGCACACAGCAGTGCAAACTGTGCTATATGGTGGTGCAAGTAGGTAAGATGTTGGAACCTATCCAGATGGACCAATAGTCAGAAAGAAACACCTACAACCTAGTAAGCATCTAGTAGAAACTACCACCAGAACTTTTGCGACACCCACAGCAAGTGACAATTAATTTCTATTATTAATTGCCTTTCACTATACTAATAATTTTCATTTAATCTGGTGTTACACAACCCTTATAATGCTTAGTGAAATCTGAGTCTTCTATCGTTTGATCTTTGTTAAAGAGGTGTTTGATGTTATTCATTACATTTATGGGAAAACCAATTAGTACCCATAGATTACCTCCTTAGTACCCAATTAACACTATTGTACTCTACTTCTCTGAGCTAGGTACACACTTGTATCAATTACAATAATAAAACGTCACTACAATATAAACATGGTGGTTCTACCATTTCATTTTTGATTGCATCGTATTATGGATATTTTTTTATATTATATTATAGTTGTAGCGTGAATGGGTCAGCCCGACCGAGGAAGGACCACGCTCTCACAAAATACCAGCGTAAAATAGCAGCTTAACGCTGCTGTGTTTCGTATGGTGAGTGTAGTGAACCGAACACCCTTTTTACTGGAAACGAGACATTCCATCTAAGTACTTAGGAGTGGCAACGCATCTGCATTTTGATTATTAATCGAAGACAGATGTTGATTGCTGGTCTATAATGATCCTTCTGTTCCGGTCTGGAAATCCAGTATATTTTCAAACTGTGAGGTATTCTATTTTAGCCTTCAAAGGGACAACGCATCTGTTGAACGTCTGGACAACGTCTCTCCCTTTGAAGTTAGTTGCTGGTAGTACCATGCTGCAGCTAGGTATATTATGGTTGTAGCACGAATGAGTCCGCTCATCCGGGGATGGATCACGCTCTCACAGAATATCAGCGTAAAATAGCAGCTTAATACTGCTGCGTTTCTTATGGTAAGTGTAGAGAACCGGAGATCCTTTTTACTGGATACGAGGCATTCCATCGTAGTCCTCGCGGCTGACAACGCATCTGCATTTTATACGCAAACGAGGATAGATGTATTTGTATAACAACCATTTACCATCAGTTGGACTGTGTGATCGTTTATCACCCTTATTCTATAAAAAAAGATACCACAATATCTCCCTTCTTCTTTTTCACATCCTATAAAAATCCCATATTCGCCTCTTAAAAGACCCGCGGGATTAAATGGGTCAATGGATTACTTTATATCACCTCCACCAGAAAATTGTATATTTATGGATCCGCTATTTAGATAAATTTCTTCTTTAGTTCTTTCCTCTTTTTATGTGATGTGTGTATGAACTCTCAGATGTGGCAACGCTTCTGCATTTTGATTCTTAATCAAGGATTGTTGTAGATTTCTATGAGCCACAGCATCCATTTACCAGCTGGTGGACTGTGTGCTTGTTTGTCACCCTTATTCTATAAAATAAAATTGATCAGGAAAGTTTTCACAAAATATCAGCGTAAAAAGTTTAGAAGGCGTTTTATCTTAGTTCTCTGGGGTTATATAATGCGTTAATAAGCCTTCTTGGTCTAGAGTTTTTTGTAGATACATATTGGTTTCCAGGTACCCCTCAGGTGAACTGCGAACACTTTTCTCTCTTTAATTTCAATCAAAAAGAACAACAAAAAGTAAAATAAATCTGTTAACCATTAAATTCATTGTTAAATATCGGTCCTTCACTAACCGGATACGCTAATATTTCTAGAACTTGTAACTTGTAATAAACATTATGCAATCAACTGTGCTAAGTTTTTCATGTTTAAAAGTATTTATTTTTTTGTTGCTAAAGTTATTTTATGTTACTTTACTACTCACCAATTGTATGCGAGTGATGCAATTTCCACATCTCTGTTACATGTTGTGAAATGCGAATCTAACGTCCATTTTGCTCGTAAAAACTTTTCTATTTATTTTTATTGTTTTAAGTGTAAAATTTACACGTGTTTCTACTTTTTTATAAAGGGTAAACAAAAAAATATTTAAAAAAAAACTCTGTCCGTGGCATATGAATTGTCACAACATTGTTTCTAAAAATACTTGTAAGATAATATAAATACCCATTGTAATTAGGTATTCTGCTGCAAGAACAGCAGTTTAGAAGCGGTGTAAGAGAATTCTAAGACTACCCTATCTTATCCGAGAGAAATGGAACAGGAAATGGGCGGCAGCATCTTCCTGATAAGTATTCAAAATAATAAAAAACTGCTGTTGCCATCCATCCTGCCTGGCGCGGCAAATATCTACCCATTGATATAATATATGAGGCAATCTATTAAAGAGGTTTTTGTTCAGCATTCTACTTCTTGCGTGACAAATATCTACCCTTTCATATAATATATGAGGCAATCTGTTAAAGAGGTTTTTGTTCAGCATTCTACTTCTTGCGTGACAAATATCTACCCTTTCATATAATATATGAGGCAATCTATTAAAGAGGTTTTTGTTCAGCATTCTACTTCTTGCGTGCTATTCTACTTCTTGCGTGACAAATATCTACCCATTGATATAATATATGAGGCAATCTATTAAAGAGGTTTTTGTTCAGCATTCTACTTCTTGCGTGCTATTCTACTTCATGCGTGACAAATATCTACCCATTGATATAATATATGAGGCAATCTATTAAAGATGTTTTTGTTCAGCATTCTACTTCTTGCGTGCTATTCTACTTCTTGCGTGACAAATATCTACCCATTGATATAATATATGAGGCAATCTGTTAAAGAGGTTTTTGTTCAGCATTCTACTTCTTGCGTGACAAATATCTACCCTTTCATATAATATATGAGGCAATCTATTAAAGAGGTTTTTGTTCAGCATTCTACTTCTTGCGTGCTATTCTACTTCTTGCGTGACAAATATCTACCCATTGATATAATATATGAGGCAATCTATTAAAGAGGTTTTTGTTCAGCATTCTACTTCTTGCGTGCTATTCTACTTCTTGCGTGACAAATATCTACCCATTGATATAATATATGAGGCAATCTATTAAAGAGGTTTTTGTTCAGCATTCTACTTCTTGCGTGCTATTCTACTTCATGCGTGACAAATATCTACCCATTGATATAATATATGAGGCAATCTATTAAAGATGTTTTTGTTCAGCATTCTACTCTTGATAGGCTGTAATGAATGAGTGATGCAAGAAACGAGATCCAAAATGAGGACCTTTACTTTTCCGGTATTTCACTTGTAAAACTTGTATGAACGAACAAACTCCCTAAATTGCAGACTAATACAATTTTTTTATAGGGTAAAGATGACAAACGAGCACACAGTCCACCTGATAGTAACTAGTTACTGCGGCATCTACATCTATCTTCGATAACATATCAAAATGCAAATGCGTTGTCACCCGTGAGGACTGAGATGGAATGCCTCGTTTCCAGTAAAAAGGGTCTCCGGTTCTCTACACTCACCATACGAAACACAGCAGCGTTAGGCTTCTATTTTACGCTGGTATTCTGTGAGAGCGTGGTCCTTCCTCGGTCGAGGCGACACATTCGTGTTACAACTATACTACTAACTTAGCTGTAGAGCCATACCACGTAAAATTTCTATACATTTTACAAATCTAAAGAAACGGGAGCAGGAGCAGCTCCAGCCCGACTAAGATTACTAAGATCAGATTTATATTCATCAATGAATAATTTCAAATGTAATAATAATAATTTAAAACAAAAGTAATTTAAGTCTGCTTCTTTTGAGCATCATAAATGTTTGGGAATCATTTCCATGTAATTTAATTTATTAATTAAGACTATAGAGGTAAATTCTAGCAATCCATCCATCGTCGTAGGTCTCCTATTAGATTGCTTCTTAAGGGAAATATTTGCCACAGTTGCTACATTGGACTGGCGCGACGCTGCTGCTCTGTTGGTTTGTTTCCTCTGTCGCCTATTCCGACACATACAGAACGATATGGATTAGTGAATATTCATACTCCACCACTAAACGGTCAGTCTCTATAATAATTTCTAGCGACACGAGTTTGGGCAACTATTTTAAATACGCATCACTGCTAGCGTATTTTGAGGAACACATAGGCTCAGCAGCTAGAAAGCCCAACACCAATACAGTATAACAATGATGACTTCGTTTGTTTTTCAGCCTTGTTACGTTTGCAACAGTACCGGCCACAACTGCCGCGCCCTCCCTCGCCAGCGAATCAGGTTCGAAGAGGAACTAGACCTGACCACAGAGGTTAATGACAACGCCCTAAACGACGGGGCAGATATAACAGGTAACTAGATTTTTATTCGCCCCTAAATCCGCCTCGTGATTCCTAACACGAGTTATGTCGGACTAGCATCGACTATAAATCCCATGGCGTCCCTCATTTTGGCAGGACCACAGGATTGTTTTAGCACACATCTGAGTTCCTAAAAGCACCGTCCGTCCCAAGGCGGCCTCTTGAAAGAGAACAACTCCTTCCACTCTTTCCCTTTAGGAAAGACACGCATGAAAACAAGACGCGCCTTTCTTAATGGCTTCCATTTTCTAACCCACTTTGACATAGACCACAGACGCGTTGTTTACCTTTGAGACTAAAATGGAATGTCTTACAGCCTGTACTGGTTCTCTCTAGACTGTTCAAACCAGATCCCTGGATGGGGAGTACGACTGAAAGTGTGGTGGCACCAACTCAGACGAATTCCTAGGCAGAAAATAAATCTTACCATCTACAAAGGTCATTTGCCACACTTATTGTAAATATGACAAAATTAGTTTTTTTTTAAAGAGAAGGAAGAAGAAGGTGTTAAATACCAAATTAAGTTTTCTATTGTTTTAGAATAAGGTCGAAATACAGAGAGTTCACAGTGCATCTAATGGTAAGTGGATGCTGTGGCCCATAGACGTCTACATTTATCCTCGATTAAAAATCAAAATTCAGATCACCCCTGAGGGCTGAGATGGAATGTCTTGTTTTCAGAAAGAAGGGTCTCAGGTTTTCTACTCTCCATACGAAACACAGCAACCATAATATAGCTGCAGCATGGCACTACCTGCAACTAACTTCAAACAGAGACGTTGTCCAGACCGGTCGTGTAGGTTTACCGTCCCATCGGACTATGAGAGTGAGAGAATATATGTAGAGTGCACCTGTGCTTGCGCACACACTCGTGCACTATAATCCTGTCCTACGCAAGATGGCTAGTCTCCGTAGAGCCGCCGTGGGCCGCCATGACCGAAATTCGGTCTGGAGGACTTCAATTAATTATGTTAAAAAAATCTGTATTTCTAATCATAATAAAACATAATTTTCCGTAGCCCCAGCTGAAGAGTATGAGGAACCAAAGGGAGTAGAAGATACAGATTTCGTTCTGTACGTGAGTGCAGTAGAGACTGAAAGGTGTAGACGCGGCTTGACTGTGGCGTATGCGTCACACTGTCAGCAGGAGTCGGCTTTGGACAGGTATGTTAAAGAAGGACAGAAGGAGGGATAGACAGAGAAAGTGTGAAAGGGATAAAAAATGTGTTAAGGTTTGTTGTTCTTAACTGATACAAATTTTACGGATCATGGATTTTTTTTATATAATAAAGGTGACAAACGAGCACAAAGTCCACCTAATGGTAAGTGGATGCTGTGGCCCATAGTTAACCAAAATGCGGATGCGTTCTCTTCGTCTGAAGACTAAGATTCAATGGCTCGTAGCCAGTAAAAAGGGGCTTCGGTTCTCCACACTCACCATATGAAACACAGCAGCATTTAGCTGATATTTTACGCTGGTCTTGCCGGTGTTGCCTACCTGAATGCATGCATTCGTGCTAATAATTGTAATATAGCTGCATCATGGCTGTACCACGTTTTACCTTCCAAAGAGGCGCAAGCATCTCTTTGGCAGGCGGATTGGCAGCCGCGGTTTTTATTATTATTGTATTCTTATCAATAAGATACTGCTGCCCATGTCCTGTGTCAATTTACTTTCCCTAAAAGCTTAAAATCGTTTTTTTTTTTCTTTAGTTTTGTTGGGATTTTTGTCAAAATGACATGCCAATCCCATCATACCTTATACTAATTACTGTTAACACTATTACAAAGTAAAAATGTATAATTGAGAGTACTAGTTAAATTACTAACCTGAAAAGAAACTTATACTAGATAGAGAAGATAATTATTCCGTCCTAGAAGCAAACCGGAATAACCCTCTTGACATCTTTGATTTGGGGTTTGATGGGAAACCATTTGCCTGTCTATCTTTTTCGTTCTTGACATACTCCATCAACAAATGGTAAACATCTTCAATTTTGTTGCATACATCACAATTCGGTGAAGGTTTTTTTCCCATTAAAAAAGCGAACTTTGCTGATGGAGTATGACCAGAACGAAGTCTTAAGGCTAACTTAACAAAATTTCTGCTGAGATCACAATCGTTAAACCAAGCTTAGAAGCGTTGCGTTTGTTGTTCTTCCCCTTTGTTTCGTTCTTTCAATATACAATGACAAACGAACATACAGTCTGTGCAGTCTGGTGAGTGGCTACTGCAGCCTATCGAACAGCTGTAGCCATCTTCGAACAGAAAAGACCTAAAGCTTCACAGCCTTTACTTCTACAGACACAGTTCACCTTTTTTTATAGTATAGGGTGACAAACGAACACACAGTCCACCTGATGGTAAGTGGTTGCTGTGACACATAGACATCTACATCTATCTTCAATAAAGAATCAAAATGCAGATTCGTTTGTGTCGTGAGGACTAAAATGGAATGCCTCGTTTCCAGTAAAAAGGGTCTCCGGTTCTCTACACTCATCATACGAAACACAGCAGTGTTAAGCTGCTATTTTACGCTGGTATTCTATGAGAGCATGGTCCTTCCCCAGTCGAGCCGACCCATTCGTGCTACAACTATACTACTAATATAGCTGCAGCATGGCTCTACCACGTATACCTGATGGTAAGTTTATGTTGCGGTCTGTATACACCTACTTCTCTTGATTAAGTATCAAAATGCTAAAAGATACGTTGTCACCACAGAGGGATCAAATCGAATGCCTTTTTGTTGTCTTAATTGAGATATTTTGACACAATACTTCTTCCAGGCCTGTAGCGGGACACGCGAACTTCTGTCCGGGCGAGCTGTCCACCAACTATAGGGACTTACCATCTGTGCTTTCAACAGTGAAACATGAAATGCTGCATGCTCTTGGCTTCAGTGTTTCGCTATTTGGGTTCTACCGGTGAGTATGTGAGCAAAAGAGACAGAGAGAGAGAGAGAAATTTCTAGAGAGAGAGAGATAGATAGATGGAGAGAGAGGGAGATAGAAAGAGAGTACCGTCGCTAGGTTAGTACTTGACCAACGCGGGGTTATTTAATTTTAGAATTGGAAACGTTATGTTGCAAACATAATTTTCTTATTAAAGGTAGGACATTTTTTTTTATAGGAGAGGGGGCAAACGAGCATGCGGCTCACCTGATAGTAAGTGACTACCGCCGCTCATGAACAACCGCAACACCTGAGGAATTGCAGATGCGTTGCCGGCCTTTTAAAAAGGAGTAGGCTCTTTACATACTCATTAACTTTTTTATCTATACTCATATAAATAAAATTGAAGTGTGTGTCTGTAATATTGAGATAAATGTCTTTTATTGAGCTGACAGGACTAGCTGAATGCCATTAAGAACAAAAGACACGAAGAACTATTTTTAAATTTTTGAACTGAAAATTTCTTTAGTATAGTTGTGATTTGAAACTTTTGAAACTCGATGAAACTATAGATCTATAGAATTAAGCCTGCGAGAGAATTAGATAGAATACAGTATTAAATCCTATATTATCTATAATATAATAAAATGTACTTAATTTATAATGTATAAAATAATTTTTAAAGTTTGTAACAATATTGTAATAACTTTACCCTACATTTTTCCTACCCCTAGTTCTCCAATCAATAAATTCAATCTTATTACCTGGGTGCATAGTTAAGGCGTTTCCCTGACCAAATAACCTTCAGCATGCAGTGCACTGCCGCCCGCATTCTGCGTACGCCCATTTATCATAGAATTTACACAATATTAATAACTATATAATACTAATATTAATTAAAAAAGAAAAGCGAACTTTAAAAATTAAATAAAACTTGAATAATATGGATTTTTAAATTATCTATGTATGCATTAGTGTAATCCTCAAATGATTAGAGCGTTGCCTTTAGCAACAGATGCGTGTAATCAATAATATTAGTCATTTTTTAAAAGTAGATTTTAAATGTATTTATAACACATAAAAACAAATTAGAACGTGGAATGTGATGATAGGATATCGAACATTAATAATGTGCTTTTAGATGTTTTTTTTTTATAGGATCGGGTGACAAACGAGCACACAGTCCACCTGATGGTAAGTGGTTGCTGCGGACCATAGACATCTACATCTATCCTCAATAAAGACTCAAGATGCAGATGCGTTGTCACCCGTGAGGACTAAGATGGAATGCCTCTTTGCCAGTAAAAAGGGTCTCCGGTTCTCTACACTCACCATACGAAACAAAGCAGCGTTAGCTGCTATTTTACGCTGGTTTTCTGTGAGAGCGTGGTCCTTCCCCGGTCGAGCCGACCCATTCGTGCTACAACCATAATATAGCTGCAGCATGGCTCTACCACGTAGAAAATTATTTCTCATAACTAATGAGATAATAGTCTCTGAATAACGAAGAAAAACGCACTATTTAAACGCTTTTGGTCGGGGTATCGCCTTAAGATATTTTTTCACCAGGGACGACAATGGAGAACCGCTGACTGAAAGGCGAACTGACACCGGGGATCCGCCATTAGATGAAGAGTAAGTCATTTTCCCTTTTTTTCTTTCGTAACTTAGCATCGGGTACATACACATTGTAATTGCATTTCATTTATCGCAGTACAGTTGTCTCAGAGAAAGTTTTAATTTTTGATCTCGTCTCCTGACTGGTAAAAGTGTGTAATTCTGTTATTTATTAATTAATTTTAATTTAATTTAATTTTATATCATTATATTGTTTTATATACTGAGATTACTGCCTATTTGCATTCACTGATATGTGGTATCTCAACAAGAGAATCTTGTAAGCAAAGATTCAAAAATCTTTGCTTACTAACTCTGCCATCGTTATATATATTTGAGATAGGTAAATTTGTAAAACAGCATACAGCTTTATTTAAAAAGTCCTCTGATGTTAATCCAAGGCTTAAAAGAAATCCGAATAGGTTAGTTCTAAGCGAAGTTCCGAAATCAACTAAATATAGTAAAAGCTGTTTATCAATGTGTGTACGTATATACAACAAAATACCTGACGAAATTAAAACAATAAATAATATGAATTTATTTAAAAATAGACTGTACCTTTGGTTAGTTGACAAAATTTTTTATGACATTAACGAATTTCTGACATTGTAAGCCATATTCTGACATTATATTCTGGCCATTAGTGTGTTGTAATTCTGACATTGTATAATATGATTTGAAATAATGTTTAATTTGTTAATTTTTAATATCATATAGGTCATTTTTTTTTTGTTTAAAGTTTCTTATTGTTTAAACTCATAATTTAAATATAATTTGCATGCTATGTCATATTAAAATAGCAAAACATGAGAGCACAATACAACTAAAACATCTGTATCTATATTTACCATGTTTTCTGCAAATAAAGATTATTATTATTATTATTATTACTGAATTTATTATTTTAAAATTGTTATTTTGTATTGACATTGATTTATTTATTGCTACAATTTTGGAGATTGATATAAAATTCAATGATTTTAATAAACTATAGAATTTGTGTCAATAAGATAAATACAAATTTAAATATATAATTAAGATTATTAATTTTCAGGTTACAGATTCACAAGTGGTCGTCTAGAGTTGTCAAAAACATCACCCGTAAGAACTGGATGGTCAGGGGAGGGTATATGGAGCGGACCTTTCATATGATCGTCACCCCTCGGGTCGTTAAAGAGGTCAGTTACTATAGTAATAAATAAGCCATCCACACCAAATTTCGGTCACGGCGGCCTCAACGGAGACTAACCATCGGAGCAGGACAGCATTATAGTGCCCAAGTGTATGCGCAAGCACAGGTGCACTCTCTATTGCCTCACTCTCATAGTCCGATGGGACGGTGATCCGACACTTCAAACCCTCCACTTTGAGTATAAGGCCTTCCGTTCTTTCTCCTGTTGGAATATAAAAATTTGAATATAATATTATTTTACAAATTGAATTTTTTTAAGTTTTAAAATTATCGGATTAATAACTATTTTCTTTTTCATTCGGTTTTTCCCCGGTCGGACCGACCTAATCGTGCTACAACCATAATATAGCTGCAGCATGGCTCTATCACAAATTAAACACTAACTTACATTACGCAGGTGCGAGAGCACTTCAACTGCTCGAAGCTAGAGGGCGCTGAGTTGGAGGACCAGGGGGGTGATGGAACCGCCCTCACGCATTGGGAGAAGAGGGTTTTCGAGGTAAACATTTTTTTAAAATTAGTTATATAAGAGTTACCTGACACAACTTTTGATGTATTAAGTTTTATTTATTCTATTACTAGGTGTTTGCACTGGAGCAGCGACGGACTTACATATGTAGTCTGTTATGTATATGGTGTGTAGTATGTATGTAGTCTGTTCGCCTAGATACTGTCGTCTTTGTGTCGCGCCGCGTTGGTACTTCCCGCATCTAGTCAAAGGCGCCGCATCGACGTCAAAGGTCGCCGCTTGTGGTGTATACCTGCAAGAAAATTTGGCATTTCAAAACGAAACGCCGTAGTGAAAGGTTATATTTGTTGATTCTGCTACGTATATCTATACATCTATACAAACAAATAAAATTGAAGTGTCTGTTTGCAATGTCAAAATAACTTATAACACCTCCTTTTAACACCCACCAACTTTGTCTGTCTGTCTGTCGGTCTCTCTGTCTGTTTGTTCCGGCTAATCTCCGAAATGTCTCGGCTGATTTTGATGGGACTTTCATCGACAGATATCCGAAGTTATAAGGAGTAACTTAGGCTACTTTAATTATAGAAAAAGAATTAGGGAACCGCGCAAAATAATTAAAACCCTCAATTACAAGCGGGTGAAGTCGCGGGGAACAGTTAGTAGAAAATGTTTTTCGCAATTGGGAGGACAGTAAAGTGCCTCAAGATGAAACTTTAAGTGAACCAATGAGAAAAGTAATATTGCAGTAGGTATGGATTCAGAACGTGGTGATGTTGAATACCTTATTATAAATACAGGTGGCAATGACTCCGACACTTCGAGTGATGAAGAATATTGTCTATTATACTTTCGTTTATGTTTACCTACCTACTCATATTTTTCATTTAAAGATTCTTTGCTACCTAACTTGTGTTTATTGTTTATATTTGTATTATATATTACAATAACCATAAGAATAAAATATTATTTCACTTTATTCTTAGAATAGAATAACATTTATTTAACAAACACAGAAAAATAATAAAACAAAAGCAAAATAATAAATGCGCCTCCGGGTGTACCGACACTATCTTCGTGAACAGACACATACACCCATACACACTCTCTCTCTCTTTCTCTCTCTCTCTCACACACACACACACACACACTCTCTCTCTCTCTCTCCCTCTCTCTCACACACACTACACACACATATACGTATACATAAGTAAATAAACTTTCACTTTCATACCCTACAGTATTTATAAGTAGACTAGCTCCTAACAATTGATTGTCCTAATTTTAGAATTTAAGTAATATATAACATTAATATGGATATAGAATATGCTTATGCGTAATGGAAGGACCCTCCAAACACAGTTATTATTTGCTTAACTGGAGTTTCCAATTTACTAGTTTTTAAGGCATGTATTAAAAACGAAATAAAATTTATTTATTTATTTATAACATACTATACAACTTTATTAACTTCCTTTTGCGTAGCATTGAAAGGAAGTTAATGGTTTTAGCTGGCAGTCTGTTAGTCTGTATGCCGACACGATAACTTCCGTTCCACTGGACCGATTGACTTTAAATTTGGTATGTGGATACCTTGAGGTAGTAGCTCGGTCGAGTTTTGAATTTGGGTCCTGTAGGTCAAAGGGCACCAGAGATATGGGATTCACGCAGAAGGAAGTTGTTTTTCTTGAATTTACATTCAACTCGTTATTGTCTATTACGAGGTGTTAGGATTCCTTTGGCGTCTAGGAGTCAGTTTGGGTTGGTGCCGTCCTCAGTTCAGGTGGCCAGTAAGTTCATACTGGCTAAGGGGCAATCCATCTTGATCCATAGGGGTGACAACGTATAATTAATTTCTTTTACTGCAGTTGCCAAGACTGTATTGGTGGTGGTCAAAACGCCATCCACCTCAAATACTATGATGTTCGTCTGAAATTTCCCACAGTTGTCTCTTACGACACCATCGATACGGAATCGCTGACGGACACTCTTAGTATTTTCTCTGGCGAAATTCCTGGCCACATAGAGGCCATTTCAGTTTTCTTCTGTTTCATCATTAGCCCATAAAAGTCCACTGCTGAACATAGGTAGGTCATTGTTGCTTGGCAGGTGAGTTGACGATCGCAACCAGACGTGAGCACTTGACTGTGCCGCCTATCGCCGGTCTGAATATTTTGTCTGGTGTAAATGATGATTATACTGTTATCTATTTTGAGGGTGACAAATGAGCACAGAGTCCAGTGATGGTAAGTGGATGCTGTGACCCATTGACATCTGCATCTATACTCGATCGGAAATCAAAATGCAGGTGCGTTGTCAGCTCTGAGAACTAAGATGGAATGCCTTGTTCTACACTCACCAAACACAGCAGCATTAAGCTGCTTCCACGCTGGTATTCTTTAAGAGCATGATACTTCCCTTGCTGAGCCGACCTATTCGTTCTACAATTACAATATAGTTGCAGCATGGTTCTACCACATATCCTATTGGAAGCCATCAGATTTTACAGACGTTTTCGACACGGCAAATTTTGTAACCCATAAATTTTGCAGCATTTAACATAGAAACTCTATATCACTTCCAGAACGAGGCCATGACTGGGACGCACACGCAAAATTCCGTGTTCAGTCGGATCACCTTCGCAATGATGGAGGACACGGGCTGGTACCGCGCGGACTATTCCCACGCTGCCCCCTTGTATTGGGGGAAGAACTTGGGCTGTAGATTCGCGATGGCCTCCTGCAAACAGTGGCTGAACACTCAAAGGTTGAGGTATTTACTGTTCATTGTGCTTTGCTTGGGGTTTTATGCAGCTGCTGGTTTACAGTTGTTAAGAATTTAATGAATTCGTATGAAGATATGAGAAGTTGAACGAAGTCATGCAAATTCGTACGAAGACATGCGAAGTCGTAAGAAGTCATGTGGGGTCGTACGAAGTCATTAAAAGTCGTGCGAAGTCATGCGTAGTGGTCGTCCATCTCCGAAATATAATACAAAGTCATTCAAGGTCATACGAAGTAATACAATGAAGTGGAAAGTCACCAATAAGCTTGATTGGTGTAATTCATACGCGACAGTAGTAATATAGTAGCGACTAAATGTTTGGAAGCTATAGTAATTCGACAGTGAAGTAGAAATCTCTTCTAACAGTTTTCCTGAGATGTGGGCTTTTCTAAAATCTTTTCTGCCACCAGGATGGCGCTACTTAGGAATGAGGTGAAATATTTGACTGATTTATGTAAAATTATTAGTAAATATTGATATTTCTTTTCAAAAATAAGTCATATTTTATAATAACACAAATAATTAAAAAGAAAGTAAAAAATGTGCAAAAATTTAAAAAAGAACCGCTTCAGCATTGTTTCGTGTATATACGAGTATAATAAGTATATACGATTTTTTTTTAAATTTTAACGTTTCACATGTGTTAAAAGTGTAAGAAATAACTTCACCTCAGTCTCAATGAGTCCATCTACGATATATTTTTCATATTTATGTTTCACTTTTAGTTTAGTTTAGTCACATTTTATACCTTCAATGGCGACATCTGGTGAGTGAAAATTTATTAGCTCTCGTTGGATTCATGATAGATTTGAGGGGTTAGCCAAGTTGACTTTTTACGATCGTCGATTTTACATTTTAGGTTAAATGCAATTTAAAATAGGTTTTTTAGTATTGAAAAAATACGATGATTATTTGACTGTTAATTATATGACATCATTACTCTTTATGATACATTTTTATAGAAACTTGTTTTGACAGCTCATATAAAAGTATTTATAGAGAAATATCTAATTGCAAATATCTACATATAAAAATCAATTGCCGTCCGTTAGTCCCGAAAACGTCTCGAAATATTTTAATTAAAATTTTTTGTGTGCGTTAAACTGGGTCCCGGGATGGTTTAGATTCAAAATTGGACCCGGTAGGTGGCCCTGTTGTCAAGATACAGAAATCACCCATGCGAAGCCGCGGCGGATCGCTAGTCTTGTATAAAAATGTACAAAAATAGTGAATTAACTGTTCTTTTCCTAATCTATACATATAAATTAAATTGAAGTGTTTGTCTGTAATATCAAAACTGCTTTATATCGAACTCATTTATTGTCAACTTAATATATAAGGAAACGCAAAAGAAGAGGGCGATGGGGAGTGTGTTCTTGTCTGGCATTTATGTATAACATGGTTTAACTAACGATATGCTGTGTGTGTGTGTGTGTGTGTGTGTGTGTGTGTGTTTTTTTTGTTTGTGAGTTTGTAAATAAGATGATGCTTTTAACATGTCTGGCTTCTTTCTAATTTCAAGCAACACTACGGACAATTCGATACTCGAGTAAGTAATCTTAATATTTTAGTTACATCCTTGATCAGTGTATTAGAGTAAATTTATATACAAAAACGCAAACTGTTGATTATTAATCAGATAAATCGCGCACGCAAGCTAAATAAAAGTTTATCGCTGAGCGCGAGTGTCCGTATTACTTTGCATCATTTCCCCTTCCTACGTCACGACGGACTTTCCGTGGTTACTAAGGGCTGTTAATAAAGAGTGAAAAAAATACATTGCGAAATGGTAAGTAAGTTACTTAGGTAAAGTACATATTCTGATTATAGTCGAACATATTTCCGTTACTATGTGAGTTCTGTGATGCCCAAGGCATGCAACTTGCAAGGCCATTCGTCGGGAATCACGATGCTTGGCTCGTAAGAAATAGGTAGATAGTGTAAACAACAAATAAACCCGAAATACCATTTCTAACAGAAATGTGATCATATTCAACTTAGTTTTAAAAATCTTGTAAACAAAGTCTTAATTTCAATATTTTGTGCTATTATAACTTAAAATATTTTAATTATAAAGACAAGTATAGGTATGTAAGTAAGTACTTGGGTAGTGAAGTAAATTTCAAAGTAAGTTTTGTAATAAAGTACGTAGGCATTACCTCTATAGTAAAATTATTACTTAATTATCTTTTCACTACAAGTAATAGGTACTTATAACAAAAAAAAAATGTAGTCCATAGATGAATACATTTCTCTCTTTGAATTTAATGGTCGACTGCACGGCACAAATTTTTGTAAGTCTTGACTTATTAAACCAAATTACTTTGACTACAAAAAGGAGGAGGGACTCAATTCGACTGTATGTCTTTTTTATGTGTGTTACCTCATAACTTTTTTCTGGGTGAACCGATTTCGATGTTTTTTTTTTATTTGAAAGCTGGTGCTTCTCGTGTGGTCCCATATAAATTTGATCAAGATCTGACCGATAGTTTTTGAGTTATTCTTAATAATTTATATTGAAATCGGTTGTACAAAATTTTTAATTTTAAATTATTTTACAATATCGCAACAAAAAGAAATGACGTATTATACCTTTAACCGCTATGACACAATATTAATATGTTCTGCAACAGTTTTTATTTTTATTTTCCAAGCGTCTCGAATGGAACTGAAGTGGAAGAGTAAGTCATTTCATTATTAAGTAAAGTCTAACGTGCCTATAGTAACAGTCTAAACGTATCTCATAGCTGGGTTTTGTTGCAAGGTCGGTCAACCAGGTATGGAGTATTAGAAGTGACGATATCCGCAGTAGAACCAGAGTAACCGACATAGATCAAAGAATTAGTATGCTGAAGTGCCAATTTTCCGAGCATATAGATCAAAGAACCGTTAACCGATGGAAAGAAAGGTTCTCGAGTGGCAGCCTCGTACTGGTTAGCGTAGTGTATGGCGGCCTCTCACTAGGAGGAATGACGACCTGGTAAGACATGCAGGAAGTCGATGGATGCAGGTGGCTCAGGACCGTGCTTTGTGGTATTCCTTGGGGGAGGCCTATGTTCAGCAGTGGACATGTGAAGGGCTGTAATGATGATGGGTGATGATTATTAGCTTGGAACAGTATCGTGACGGTCAAGAAACACCGAAATAAAAAATCCATTGGTCTCCGCACTAGAGAACCTGTATCTCGTAGATCTTACAACGATTAGTATAAACTTCTGTGAGGACTTATGGATGGCATACACGATCTAGTTTACCGTGAAGTTTGCAGCGCGCTTGAAGCGGCGTCCAGTTTGCAGTGCATCCATATCACTCAAGTTCAAGTTCACCGTCAAGTTGGCACCAATTGAAACCATGGCGTTTCTCGCTTAATTGCTCCGACTAACGTCATGCATACTTGACCGCTCAAACACGTTCAAGTTTACACGACGCTGCTTGATCAAGTCGACAGAATCGAAATTCAATTCTTGCCTCAAGTAGACTAGTCATGCACACTGTTAGCCGTACACCGTCGAGTTTACCGGACGCCGCTTCAAGCGCGCTGCAAACTTGACGGTAAGCTGGATCGCGTACGGCATCCATTAGTGAGGTGAAATGTTATCGCGAGTCTGTTGACTCGACCGGGGAAGAAATACTCTCGCACAGGTGCTTTACTAGGTGTTAACACGCCTTTTCTACCGACTTCAAAAAGGGGACGGTTCTCAATTCGACTGTATGTTTTCTTTATGTGTAACATAACTTTTTTTTGGGTGCACAGATTTCGATGATTCTTTTTTTTTATTCAAAGCTAATGCTTCTCATGTGTGTCCCATATAAATTTGATCAAGTTCTGACCAAGAGTTTTTAAGTTATTGTTAATAATTTATATTGAAGTCGGTTGTACAAAATTGTTATCTGTCTAGGTGTCCCGTCGGGGTAGGTATCACTCTCTTTTTTTTATATGATAGGGGTGACAAACGAGCACACAGTCCACCCGATGGTAAGTGGTTACTGAGGCCCATAGACATCTACATCTATCCTCTATTACAACTCAAAATGTAGATGCGTTGTCACCCGTGGGGACTAAGATGGAATGCCTCATTTCCAGTAAAAAGGGCCTCCGGCCACCTGCACTCACCGAGCGAAACGCAGAGGTTAACCTCTACTTCACGCTGGTTTTCTGTGAGGTCGTGGTACCACCCCGACCTCACAGAATCTCTTACCTATACCTGGCACCAAATAGCAGTGCTTGTAAGATGTGTTTCGGTGTGAAGGGTAGAGAGAGTCAGTAGTCAGGCTGTGAGGCATTCCATCTTAGTACTTATAAGTGACAACGCACCTGTAGCCTTGTTGTGAAGTTGTTGCAAGTGTCTATGCCACTATAGTAACCATATCCCATCAGGTGGACTCGTTCCCGGTTAGTTCGTTTTTCACTTTAGTTATCTTTACATCTATACAAATAAATAAAATTGAAGTGTCTGTTTGTAATGTCGAAATAACATCTTTTTACTATATGCATATGAAAGTATATACGGTATTTATAACAAAAATACGATTTTTAAATTTTTCGTCTGTCTGTCTTGTCTGTTTGTTCCGGCTAATCTCCGAAACGGCTGGACCGATTTTGACCGGACTTTCACTGGTAGATAGCTGATGTTATAAGAAGTAACTTAGGGCTACTTTTGTTTTAGAAAAAGAATTAGGGTTCCGCGCAAAAACTTAAAACCCGTGAAATCCAATCGTAATAAATTACACGGGGGTGAAGTTGCGGTGATATATATATATAAACCAATTGAAAAGGACATAGACCTCTTCTCAAAGGATCAATTGAAAAGGACGGAGCTAAATCCTGCCTAAGACGCCTACGTTGGGTTCGGGAACAACGTATGTGAACCCCGCAACGGAGTAACACACAAGGGCGAGAACCTCTTCCTTTTCTTCAAATAGGTTCAGACGGGGATTACGGGTCTTCCGAGGTCGTCCCGGTCCCAACGCCTTAATTCTTCAATATGTGCCGCTCCGGCAACACCAGAAGGACTGTACTTATTCTTATAGGTGAAGGATCCCTTGGGAATAAAACAGCAATTATCTTCAAACCGTTCCGTGAGAGAGTAATTACTTTCCCTATCACTTATTAATCAATTGCTGTCCGGTAGTCTCGATAAAATTCGAAACTGACTCGATCGATTCCGACGAAATTTTTTGTGTGTGTTTGTTTGGGTCCCTAGATGGTTTAGATTCATAAAAAATTACTCTTAAATCTTTTCTCTTGGAGCAAAAATTAAATAGTTAAACGCTTTAAACCCAACCGAATAACATTACTCACATTCATATGAAGAATACATTGAAACGTGTTACGTTAGCGTTGTGTGTTCTTTTCTAACGTAACATTTCTTTTTAGACGTAAGAATCCAGCGCCCTTTTGCGAGCGGGTGAAGGGTGATCCGTTGAGGACAGAATGCTCAGCGAGGAGGACAGCGGTGGTACTCTGTAACCTGGTGCGACATGATACCGTCCTACCGAGGGCCTATCAGGTAAGCAACAAAGATTTTTTTTGTTATAGATTAAGGGTGTCAAACGAGCACACAGTCTACCTGATGGTAAGTGGATGCTGTGGCCCGTAGACCTAATCGATTAGGAATCAAAATGCAAATGCTTTGTGCAAATGGAAATCCCTGTGGAATGCGTCGTTTCTAGTAAAACGGGTCTCCGGTTCAGAGAGCGTGATCCTTCCACGGTGGGTGCTCGGCTCGGTTTGTCACTATAGTTCTATTAAAACAAGTAGCAATATTAAATAATTTGTACAACCGACTTCAATATAAATAAAATGGGACCACGTGAGAAGCGAAAGCTTTAAAAAAAAACAGAATTATCAAAATCGTATCACCTAAAAATAGTTCTGAGGTAACACACATAAAATATACATAATTCAAAAAAAAAATGAGGCATTCCATCTTAGTCCTCACGGGTGACAACGCATCTGCATTTTGATTTGTAATAGAAGATAGATGTAGATGTCTAAGGGCCGCAGTAACCACTTACCATAAGGTGGACTGTGTGCTCGTTTGTCACCCTTATCCTATAAAAAAAATATAGTCGAATTGAGAACCTCCACCTTTCTTTGAAGTTGGTTCAAAAAAAATTAATAACGGAATACAACTTCAACATATTTTGTAGTATAGAGTTAAATAATGTATGAAAATTTGTCCTTTATCGTCCAATGTTCTTAAGTTTATAAAAAATGTGTACGCTAAATTATTTTCGTTGCAAACTGTACTTTTTGAGGGACAGTAGACTGTAGATATGTTGTGGTCATTGATGTGTACGCTAAATTATTTTCTTTGCAAACTGTACTTTTTGAGGGACAGTAGACTGTAGATAAGTTGTGGTCATTGATGTGTACGCTAAATTATTTTCTTTGCAAACTGTACTTTTTGAGGGACAGTAGACTGTAGATATGTTGTGGTCATTGATGTGTACGCTAAATTATTTTCTTTGCAAACTGTACTTTTTGAGGGACAGTAGACTGTAGATAAGTTGTGGTCATGATGTGTACGCTAAATTATTTTCTTTGCAAAGTGTACTTTTTAAGGGACAGTAGACTGTAGATAAGTTGTGGTCATTGACGACTCTTTACTTGATTGCAGAGTAAATTCGTCATTATTTACCTAATAATAGATCCTTTCAGTCGGGTTTATCTATATCTATACAAATAAATAAAATTGAAATATCTGTTTGTAATGTTAAAATAACAGCTTTTTACTGAATGCATATAAAAGTATATAGTATATACGATACTAATAACAAAAAAACAAATTTTAAAATGTGTCTGTCTGTTTGTGCTAATCTCCGAAACGGCCGAACCGATTTTGATGGGACTTTCACTGGCAGATAGCCGATGTTATAAGGAGTAACTTAGGATACTTTTATTTTAGAAAAAGGATTAGAAACCCACGAAATCGTAGTAAATTCCACGCGGGCTAAGTCGCGGGGGACAGCTAGTTTGATAATAATTTAATTGTTTCATTCCAGCACTTCGACATTCTTCCCAACGTGCCCCCAGGTGACGAGGCCTACTACGGTGGCTCAGTTTCCCTGGCTGACTACTGCCCGTATCTGCAGGAGTTCACCTGGAAACACAAAAGTGTACTTATCAGAGGAAGTAGGTGTTCCTACGAGGAAAATACGCCAAGTGAGTGTTTTTTAAAGCATATTTATTCTAAGTATAATATAAGTTGTAACCGTGTAATCGCGGTGTAAGATTATCCACTACCCCATATCGTCCAGAGGCTGTCGTATGAGATGACAGAGGGAAAATGAAACAGAAGATGGGCAGCAGCATCATCCTGATAACAACTTAAAAAAACTATTGGTAAATCCAATTGGGTATGCCCTAATCGCATTAAAAAAATTACGTATAACATAATTATACGGAATTTTTTTAAATTAGTTTAAATAAATAAATACACACAAATTTTCACTAATAACCTTATTATACTTCCAATTTTCCGATAATTTTATGTCAAACTTCAATTTGAAAAAAGTTTGGAAAATCCAAAAGTGCACGAGCTCATCATATCATCATTCATGTCACTCCATAAAGTCCAAGACGTAATTCAGTATAAATATTACATCCTACTTACTTTTAGTACGTACGTACTATTATTTATTCTGTGCTTTTAAAATATTGTAATAAAAATCTCTGATTATTATAATAGTCAAGTAAAATAAAATAGTAAGAAATTTGTTTTTCGAATATTTTGTATTTATTTGTACAGCGATCTTTTTGAGCCGCTGCAAACAACAAATACAGTATCCACTCACAACGGCGGTTGACGCCGTACTAAGTACTAACCGAGTGAGGCAGTCTATTTACTAAAATGATTTCACACAAGGCTGCTCAAAAACCGAAAATTTCGCCATTACACAGCCGAAAAAAATTTATAATATAGATATTAAACTAATATATATATATAGATATTAAACTAAACAAAATTAAACTGCCATTTACATTCAATGGCTACCCACATGATAGATGAAGAGTTTTAAAAATATATTGAGTTGAACAATTGATATTTTCAAAAGTTATCGTGTTTACAAGCCTTGCGGACTTGATAAATCCACACCATAAGCCACTAAAACCCCTTTTTTATTTAAAAATAGCAATTAATCGATTTTAAAAAAATATTAATAAGTTCAACAATCATTTATCTTTCTGACAATGTGCTTTTTATATCACTTATATGTACAATATGATTGCTAGACACGATTTCATGCGACAAAATGTTGGAATTTTAATTTTTAGGCCCTAGTAGAACATACCTATGCGCGTTGTGCTTACGGCATGCAATAATAAAAAAAACTGCGGTTGCCAACCCACTTGCCAAGCAACTATGACTAAATACCACCGTGAGGCAATCTATGAGAGAGGCCCATGTTCAGTAGTGGACTTTTATAGGTTGTGCGGAATGGATTATGGATGATGTATATGTTGTGTAAGTGCGCAGCTGACGAAAACAGTCACAATTATTTTTGCCTAAAGAGGTTTGTGGAAAGTGGCTTTTCCTGAAAAATATTGATTAAAAGTAGTTTTGACTTTTATCGGGATTATTTAGAGAAAAAAAAATGTTTCATATTTTAAAAAGCCGTCGTAGATCAGGGGTTGAGCGCTCGCTGTTAATATCACAGTAATCGAGCAACCCGGGTTCGTTCCCTGCCGGCACCCATGAAATTTTTAATTGTAATTTTAAGTGCTTATTTACCACGTGCTCTACGATGAAGGAAAACATCGTGAGGAAACGCCAACGCGCATTTTGGCAATCCGGTTGACATTTTTTCTACAACTGACTTCAATATAAATTATTAAGGATAACTCTAAAACTATTGGTCAGATCTTTATCAAATTAATATGGGACCACATGAGAAACACCAGCTTTGAAATAAAAAAAGAATTATCGAAATCGGTTTACATAGAAAAAAGTTATGAGTTAACACCATGAAGCTAATACAAAGGGGAGACGGCATAAGCAACTGTGCACTGTGATTCTAAGTAGGTCCTGACGTCATCATAGTGGGCGTGGCTTTAGTTAGTATACTGTCAGCATTCGTCCTGTGCGCTTATGTGTTGAAAAAATCACAAATCGGTGTATTTTCGTAGTATTAAGAAGAAAGGGATGAAGTGTTGTGTTTTATTGTGTAAGAACTACTCAGATAGACGCTCTGATGTTATGGATGGCATCACATTTCATTTGTAAATATTTTTACACCTAATTTATTAAAATAGTTCTAGAAAAATCTCTGCGTCGGCTTTCAAATATAATTAAATATATTCGACACTAGATGGCGGCACTTTGTGTCATGTGAACTAAAAATGTAAAGGTAGAGCTCAGTATTGGTAAAATAATCATACGAAGGTGCTGAAATTTGTTTTGCATTCAGACATAAAGAAATCGCAATTTAATCGCAACATATCATTTTTATAGTTTATAATCATTTTGAGAACAGGCCGTATTCTCGTCAAGTAAACCTCATAAAAATGACAAAAAGACAGGGCCCTAATTAGAATTCAATTATTTTTCCCAGTAATCCAACTTTTAATATTAAATGCAGGAAATTGTACTCAGGCTGATTTTTACGAAATGTTTAAGTTATATTTAAGTGCCATTCTATATGCAAAGAATCACTTAAATACAATTTAATGTTCTTAGATTGGCATTCAAAAAGTGCATTCGGATGCCTAATTTGGAATAAAATATTTTATTTTAATTGATTTGTAAATAAAATTATATTAATTATAATAATTTGTCTATTATTTGTTCTCCCTCAGAGATATTAAGTAGTATAACCCACACATAAATAATAATCCAGCCGTTTCTGCGTGAAGAAATTACACATACTTAGTGTGGAATAAGCTCAAGGAGACAGAAAGAGCACACAAAATTTCGCCTTTATAATATTAGTGAGATAAGTAGGATATTTAGTTCCAAATTAAATATCCTATTTAATATTGAACATAGAATATTTAGTTTCAAAGAGACTTTATTTTATGGATAAAATAAATATTTTTTGAAGGTTGACTTTCACGAAATGATAAACATATTTAAATTGTATTTAAGTGATTCTTTGCATATAGAATGTCAGTTAAATATAACTTAAACATTTCGTAAAAATCAGCCAAGTACAATTTCCTTCATTTTAATATTGAATGTTGGGTTACTGGGCAAAATAATTGAATTCTAATTGCGGCCCTGTCTTTTTGTAATTTTTTATGAGGTTTACTTGACAATAGATGGCGGCCTGTTCCCATAATTATTATGAAAACTATAAAAATATTATTATGGCGATTAAAATTTCTTTGTCTGAATGTATTTGCTTCATGAGATAGACGCTCCGATGCTATGGATGGCATTACATTTCATTTGTAAGTAAGTTTACACCTAATTTATTAAAATAGTTCTAGAAAAATCTCTTTGCGTCGGCTTTCAATAATTAAATATATTCCACAGTAGATGGCGACACTTTGTGTCCTGTGAACTAAAAATATAAAGGTACGTAGAGCTCAGTAATGATAAAATAATCTTACGAAGGTGCTGAAATTTCTTTGCATTCAGACATAAAGAAATTTTAATCGCCAAAGTTTTATTTTTAAAGTTTATAACATTTTGAGGACATGCCGCCATCTACCGTCAAGGTAGCTAAGCTACATTGCAACATCGATATGGAAAGATTCGAGTAGTTTTACTATTTATCGGTAGATGTAGATAGTGTAGTGGGCGGGGCTTTGCATCCCCTCACCCCGCAAATTGTCACGCTTTGTTACATAGTGAAATTTAATTACAACGTCTCCTCTTTGTATTTGCTTCATGGTTAACACACATAAAAAACATACAGTCGAATTGAGTACCTCTTTAAGAGAAGGACCTCTTCGAAGTCGGTAAAAAATCTGTATCCACTTCAATAATTTGGTTTAATAAGTCAAGACACATAAATTTGTGTCGTGCAATCGGCTATTAAATTCAAAGAGAGAAATATATTCATCTATGAACCAAAGGATGTAAAAAGTTGCCAAATTAATTCACTAATCGTAGATAAATCATAGATAATATGAATAATATTTGATTAAGGCTTGTAATGACTAACCTATCTCTCAAAACTAGTAGAGCCATTTGTGACCCGTTTATCGGGGCGACGTGGCAACAGTTCACGACCGTCCACGGTTTTTGCCTACAGATACTTTAATAGAAACAAACACATGTGGTGCCAAGAGAGTGCCTTGAGTCAACCCACTGCTCAGCTGATCGTCATACTATATAATATTTTCCACAGAGACTGATGTGAACTTCGCCCTGGAGAACTACGGAGCGCACTCGAAGTGCTTCGACCATAGCGACAGAGTCTGGGAGCAGAAGTCTTGCCGACAGGTTTGTAATGTCTTCTTTAACTTGTTTTTATTCGGAAGCAATCATATAATTACTTAATATATTTGTAGCATACATTAGTTATTACCACTAGATGGAGTGGCGACCTGGTAAGACACGCAGGAAGTTGATCGATGCAGGTGGCTCATGACCGTGCTTTGTGGCATTCCTTGGGCGAGGCCCATATTCAGCAGTGGACTTGTGAAGGGCTGTAATGATGGTGAATGATGATACTTTAGTTAATAATAGGTGGTAATAGAGGTCATTCTGTTCAAACTAAATGAGAGATAATAGCAAGTAACGGCAACGCTTCTGCAGCCTTCTTTATATGAATTGTTTTTTTTTTATAAAATTAAATTGACAAACGAATTTATAGCCCACCTGATTATAAGTAGCAACTGGTCATACCCATGGACATCTGCAACAAACCTCAAACCTAGAAAACTGCAGATGCGTTGTCACCTGTGAGGACTAAGATGGAACGCCTCACAGTTTGTAGTTAGACTGGTTCTCTATAACGTTCAGTCCGAAACACACCGCTGCTTTTATTTAAATACGTATAAAAATATTACAATAATAGATAAGAATAGTATCTTTGATAAAAACAATCAGCTTGAATTTAAGTTGGGATGCAAAACATTTTTAATGTACATAAATTCAATATCAATAAATATCGATATGCCGATCATGTTTAGCCTATATTTTTGAGGAGTAATGGTGACAAACGAGCGCATCGTCCACCTGATGGTAAATGAATGCTACGGCCCGTAGACATATACATCTATCCTCGATTACGAATCAAAATGCAGATGAATTTTTACTCCTGAAGAATAAATTGCAATGTTTTGCTAGAAACTAAATTGCAATGCTTTATTACCAGTTGAAAGGGGCTCCGGTTCTAGTCACTTGAACATCTTTTGATTCGATTTTAAAGATATTAACAGCAATTAAACATATCATGTGCTTACAAACTGTTTCTTAATTTTTATTGTTGGTAACTTTTCCACAGATTAGGGAATGGCAACACTGGGGCTCCGGTTGCTACAAATACAAATGTCAAAGTGGGCGACTACACATTATGGTAAGTTTTATTTATAAAATTTTATATAGAAATTGTATGTTACACTCACACTATACTAAAAATAGCAAATTCAAGTTATATAATGTAGTATATAGTACACTAGTATTACCTTTTCAGTAGAAAGTTTTTTTTATTGGTAGGTTTCCCTATTTCGTACCGTAGGTGTCGTAACTGGCGACTGTGACCTGCAACGAATTGTATATTCGGCCACACGACGAAAAGCCGAATATTCTGCTGGCTTCCTGGCTGAATATTAAGCAAAAGTATACGGCCGGGAAGGAAGTACTTATCGTGTATCGTGTCTAGTCGGGTGGAATTTAAAAATGCTTTTCTCATCTAAATTTCTACAGGGTTATTTTGTAATAACCGGCCAAATTTGCAGAGAAGGTTCAAAATAAGTAATATAGGCAAATGGTGAAAGAAAAATTAATTGAAAAAAATCTCAAAAATTCTGTCCTTTTTCTTTTAAATTCAAAATGCGTGGTAGTGCATTATTTTAACTGATTTACTGTGCACGCACACATTTGTAAGGATTGATCGGTAGGCATAAACTTAATTGCCCATAAATCACATTCAATTTGGAATACTTTCAAATAAAAGTAGAAGACTTATTTACTCGTATCTTCAAAATCTGCAATAACGGTATATCTTTATTTATATATTTGAACTAACGTTTAAAATTTAGATACTCTTTGGAAAAATAACCCTGTATATTATTTATGACATTATTGCTAAAAGGGAAGTATGATAGAAGATTTCAGTAATTAAAAAATGGATTTTTATTATATTTACAAACACTATCGGGACATGTAACCTCTAAACATTGTGCCGAACCTACTTGTTTACGTTTCACCTTTTGAGTAGGTTTTCTGATACTAATTAACTCTACAAATAGGCTAACGCCTGCTCATTTACACAGACACACACACACACACACACGCGCGCGCACACACACACACACGCATACACACGCCCACACACACACACACACACACACACACACACACACACACACACACACACACTCACACACTCACACGTACACACCCAAACACATGCAAACGCACGCACGCGCGCACGCACGTCAACACACATACCTATGCACACGTGCACACGCACACATATATGCGCACGTACACACACGCACACGCACAAACACCCACATGCGCGCCCGCGCGAACACCTGCACCTCCACGCACACGTGCACAAGCCCACATACGCGCACACACAACACACATACACACACACACACAGACACACACACAACTCTAAAAAAAAATCAAATGCTTCCGACCTTTCCCTTATATTGAGTAATTTATATAAGAGGCCGTCTACACTACGACACAAGGGGTAGTGACGAAAAAATCTTACACTTTTTTCGCCTACCTCCCATCCGCCAAACCTGTACCGTCCGATAAAGAACTTCGTTCCAAAAAAAAACACGAATTAAGTAAATTATTTCTCCCCGGGCAGTGAAATATAGCCGCAATGGTATGTTACATATAAGATGTAATTTTATATATATCATATACTGTTGTGGGGATATTTCTTAGCGAATAGCTGTGTCATTATTTTTTAAAGCGTCGAACCACTAACGTTATTCTTGTACGAAATATCTATTAACTGCTAGAATTATCTCGTTACATTGTCTTTTCAAAATTATATTCATCTTTCGACCACATTATTGTCTCTGACTGCTAAGTTTGAGTATTAATAACTTGGAAATTTTGTATACAGGTGGGCAACTACTCGTACACATGTTATTACGCGGGACAAGTCCTCCAAGTTAGAATAATGCAACGTGGTTGGCTGCATCGAGGCGGAGTTGTCTGTCCGCCGTGTAGAGAGCTTTGCGGCGAGGAGTTTTCTGTAAGTAGTTAGAAATTTGAGCAATCAAGGTCTTAATGAGGGCATCCACGACTTTTTCTGCCACCAGGGCGGCGCCACTAGAAAGTGAGGTATAATATTTGACAGATTTCATAGCGAGGTCAATGTTTCTTTCTGTACTATTAGTCATATTTTATATTAATTCGATTAAAAATAAATAAACAAAATCTGAGTAAATTAAGTTAAATAATTAAAGAGTATTCCACTAAAAACTGATAAACTATGATGGCATTGTGTAACAAAAAACTTCTTCTCAGTGTCAACTAGCGACATCTGGCGAGTGGAAGAATATTAGCCCTCATTCAGTCTAATATCATATTATAGTTTTGTTTTATGGTAAGTTGGTACTGAGGTTGAACTTATTTATCACACAGTTGGTCACCCAGTGTTAATATCATTAACAAGTTGCGTTTTAAAATTTTTGATTTTTAGTGTATGTATATAACAAAAAACAATGCCTCATGCTCTTAAACTTTTTTATTTTTTTTAAATCTTCTAATTTTAGGAATATCGTTTAATATAACTAAGTTTGGTTTATGCATTTCTAATCTAATTGTTAAAAAATATGCCTAACAAATCAGAAGACATTAATATTCACACTTTTCTAACAATTTCACATCATTCTAAAGTGACGCCGCTCTCGTGGCAGAAAGAGTTGTCGATCCTCTCATTGGTTCAAATGTTTTGTATGTGGAAAATCCTGTGTGTATGTTAATTTTCCTTTATCTGCCTTGACTGCTACATACACACATAATTTCCAAACCTTTCAAATAATTTAAGTTTCATTCGTATTCTTTTACAATAAACACTAAAGTTAGTATTACAATTTTCGATGTTTATGATTTAATATATAATGATAATAATGTGCTCTAGACCGAGTTTCGGTCACGGCGGCAAGTCTCCACGGAGACTAACCATCTGCACAAAACAGGATTATAGCACACTATTGTAAGCACGGTTGCACCTCTATTTCCTCACGCTCATAGTCCGATGGGACAGCAATGCGACACGACCGGAGGAAGATCAGGCGCAAGACCAACGGCTTTACGTGCTTTTTGAAAGATCGTCAACTATATGTCTCCGAGCTGCAACTGTGAATTTCTTGACATAGTGATCGAGCCTTATCGACTACTAGAACAACGATGCAATAAATTTAAATATATCATGATACGATTTAATATAATATATAAATACTATATTTGTTCTTACAGTCTCGTGGAGAATATTGCAAAGGCGGCGAAGAAGCACCACCACCGAACCTATATCCCAACGACGTGTTAGTTTGTCGAGCACCCGCGCTTTCTCCTGTCGCCATATTGTTGACGGCGGCCATTTTGTGCATATACAACGTAATATTTTGACGACCATTTGAAATATAAGTCTGTGAATTAATTTAACGCCTGTTACCAACCGATGGATTACTCTTAAATATTGTAGGACTAATTCATATTTTTATAAATGTTGATGTGAGTGTTTTTTTTTAATGTCTGTGTGCAAAGGAATTCGCGATGAAGACTATTACGGACATGTTTATATTAGCGATGACACTGACAACACGCATGGAAATAACAAAGATTTCTATGTACACTACTAAAACACACCTATGGATCGCAAGGGCGGAGAACTGGCACGGTTTATATGCCACTCAGTTGTATTTTCATTTACGTATAAAGTTACACACTTATCTGAAACTAACTTCAAATCAAATTGATAAAATGCGCACATAAATAATGGCAGCGTTCTCTTAGTCACATTAAACAAAATCAGTGTTAGATTGTTGAAAACAATGTTTTTTACAAAACATAAAACTAGTCTTCTGGACCGCTCGCATTCGACTAAAATAGTTACGGAGAATTAACCATAATTTAATGCGCAAAATATTTAAAACCGCAGAGCCCGTCTGGTAGTGTATATAAAAGTCCTTGGAAGAATACGTTTGCAGAATTGTTATCACTGTATATTGGTTCGCCATTTCTTAAATAGGATAATATTAATTAAGATCGTCCAAATTTACTTACTGGAAATAAGTTTTTCCCAAATAAAAATATAGATGTTACCATCCATGTCATATTTCTTAGTAAGGGGTCATCCAAAAAATGTCCAAAATTTACTCGTTTCTTTTAACCCTATACTTCACAAAACCGGTAACAAGTCATACTTTTTTATTGTAAAGTATATATTACTTTTATTTATAAATCAATCGGAACTTCTTTTTCTATATCGTTATATATAAAAATTACGTGTCACATTGTTTGTCCGCGATGGACTCCTAAACTACTGAACTGATTTCAATGAAGTTTTACACACTGTGTGCAGTTTGGTCCAACTTGAGAGATAGGATAGTTTTTATACCGATAATGACCCTCAATATTCTTTATTGCGAACTTAAGGATTTTTTATAAAACAAACGCTTATTGGAAAGTGCTGAACGACGTCTGCCTGGTCAGCTAGATAAACATATAAACGTTCTGATATGTATATATAAAATAAATTTCTGACGTCTTGCTTTCACCTTTTCTCCCTCTTCACGTAGGCCAATTCTCCGCACCCTTGTACGTACGTATTTTATGGACTACCCCTAACTAATGCTCAATATTATTATTACTTATTATAAGTGTGCTAAATGTCTCCACGTCACGCTAAGTGTAAAGAATTGTGTATTTATCTATTGTGTAAATAAGTTAGTTTTAAAATTTATTTTGCTGTGCTATATCAAATTTCGAATTAAGTACTAACTTGTTTATTGACACACCAGTGATTTTTTCAGACTAATAAAACTCAGGGGCCTTTAAGATAGAGCCTAATTTTGGCCGGCAACGCACCTGCAGTTCCCCTGGTGTTGCAGTTGTTCATATGCGGTGGTAGTCAATTACCATCAGATGAGCCACATGCTTGTTTGCCCACTTTCCATTAAAAAAAAGTCTTATCTATTTTACAAAGATTTAAGACAAAATGGAATTATCTTAAAATGGACTTTATGTACCCCAGTCTTAGAATTCATTTTAGAGTAAATACGATGTACTTATAGTTTGATATAGCAGCGCAGATATGGCTTTCACCTAAGTTAATTCTATATGTTATGTTGTATTTACGTAATCTATGAAAAGGATGATTCCCAAAGGGATCCACGATCCTTGGTTACATTCACATATTAAAGTAAGGACCAGTGAGGTGTAAGAATTGAATTCTTCGCTTTCTATACTAGAGTGTTTTAATATTTTAAGCGAGATAGCAATGTAAAAGATCCATTAAAACAAAAAACCTCTGTCTGAGTTGTTAGAAATCTTCTACTACCCCCTTTCTGCAGTAGTACAATCCACTACTATGTTTCGGTTTGAAGGATAAAAGATTATAATTGCAGGTTGTAAGGCAATTAATCTAGTCTTCAGGGATGGCGACGCATCTGTTGCTATCATTGTTTGAAGTTTGTAGTTGCCTGCAATAGTCACCGTCAGGTCGGATGTTAGCTCTAGACATGTGTCAATTGTTAATTTCTAGTGATTTCTTATATTTACGCGAACACTACACATTTAAATAAAACTAATTTTACGGATTTTATCGCGTATATTAACTTATTTTACATTCCCGACGTTTCAAGCACTTTACAGCACCCATGGTCACGGGGGGGACTGAGGTGTATGACGTCCCAATGTCATAGTTAACCACGGCTAAATTTTTAATCTGGAGGTAGCCGTGGTTAACTATGACATTGGGACGTCATACACCTCAGTCCCCCCCGTGACCATGGGTGCTGTAAAGTGCTTGAAACGTCGGGAAAGTAAAATAAGTTAATATACGCGATAAAATCCGTAAAATTAGTTTTATTTAAATTTCTAGTGAGTTCGTCTTACGGACCGGGTCATTCGGGTCTATCATTCAAATAGATAATTTCGGTTTTAGTAAAAAGAAATCGTGCAAAGATGTGATTGCAATCATCAATACTTTTATGCGAGTCAAAAGAACCGGGTCAAATGAACGAATCATCTGCGTTTGGCACATGCCTAGTTAACTCGTTTGTCACTCTAATATTATAGAAAAGTAATCATAATAATTAATATTGATGAATTAATTTTCATTTATTCTTTGATTGCAGCCCATCACAAGTACACTCTTAAACATAGGCCTTCCCATAGATTGGCTCATTGATGGGACATTTACCATATTTGTTATTATGTTATCAGGAATATACTGTTGCTCATCTCCTGTCTCGGTTTCCCCCCGGTTCCAATAACCTTGTAATGAATTAGGTAATTTGATGAATACAACGTTGAACGTTTATCAAAATGCGGTCACTCACACTATGCGTTAATCGACAAAAAATAGTTCGCAAACCTAAAGATAGCGAACGCTTTAGGGTCTTAGTGTACAAATTTAGTTATTTATAAATATAAATGATTTCATTTGTATCCAGAAACGTATTTAAATAACAATCTAGTTAGTAATAATAAGCCTAAATTGTTAAAACACTTTAGTAAAGTCAGCAACTATTAGTCAAAGTAGTGTTAAGCGTTTACTAACTTTTACTTAAGTTTATCCTTAAATGCCATAAATTAATTTATTTTTTATTTTGTACCTTATCGTCTACTTATAAGAGCTATTGTGAAACTTAAACTGGAATTGCAAAGACTAAGTTTTTTTTAATATTAATTGAACCGAAGTCGCAAAGAGGTAAACAAATTATTAAATAAGAACATGAGAGCTGCCCAAAACCGGGCAAATTCTACTGTATTTTTCTGTAATATCGTTTAATACTTAATATTAATCAAAATATATTTTAATCTATTTATTTTAGCCGGAATTTACTGTTATTTTATACCATAACATCAGTGCTATGCCAAATATATTAACATTTAACTATAATCCATAATGAAACTAACTCGAAGAGCTCGAAATTAATTATATGTTTCTGGTCCTTCGAGCTTGATATCAAAAAGTTCGACTCTAAGCACTATATACATCGCTTGGTAACGTTTTTCAAATTGGTGTTTTAAGGTATCGTCTGTGAACAGAATGTGCAAGCTTAGATAAGGAGAATTGTATTTATGTAATGCTACCCTCCGAACTTTAAAAGTCCGTTAAGTAACACTTGGCCAAAATGTTAATTGTATACGGAGGGGTCTTTTTCGGACAATTGAAGACCAAACTAATGACACAATAGTAGCTAATTAAGATAGTACACCCAACAAATTTTTAGATGTGTTTTTACTTGATGGTCTTTTATAGTTCATATGGCAGACTATTATATTATTTTTTTAAATAAATCATGTGCAATATAGACAATGAATGCCGAATGTATATGATCCTGACTAAGAGGACCGACAATTACCATATTTAAATATTAAGCATTTTAGAAAAAGCACGATCCTTGTCAAGATTAAATGATGATTCACAGTCTAGAAATGCCGTTACATTTTTAATTTTTTTATTGATTTTTTTTTTGGTTTGATTATGGTTAACAGAGTAAAAGAAGTCCTTTTCCAACTGTCTGGATTGGCCCTATTTTATGTGAAAGCAAGAAGCAATGTGTACCCACTAGTGTATTGCGGCTAGAAGAGTCGTAAGTCATTTTATCTTTGATAACTTAAGGTTCTGATCGATGAGCGAGCCATAAGCTGACGGTAAAGATAACAACGGCTTGCGGTTCGTCGTTCCTCATACACTGATGATCCAAATAGTCTTTACATGTTGTGGAAGCAATTTGCCAAATTTCATGCAACGCCTGCGAGCAACGAGCCTAACTTATCGCCTCACAAAACCGCGGTTTTGCAATGATGATAGCGAGCTTTGCCAGTGAGCCTCAAGCACCTCGTTAAAGTTCGTCGATCAGGACCTTTACCTTTAAGATGATAGAAGCTGGTTGCATGAGTTCATGCTGCAGTAGCCACTTGCAATTAGATAAACTGTTAGTTTGTTAGTGACTAATATTCTAAAAGAAAACATATGTGCAGTTCACACGTGTTAAAAGTTAAATCTTCAGAAAAGGAGATCGAGATAAGAGGAAACACTATATACTTCTATCTCATTCTTTCGCAGACTAAATCCTATAGATGTATATGTTTTTATAGGATAAGGGTGACAAACGAACACAGTCCACCTGATGGTAAGTGGTTGCTGTGGCCCATAGACATCTACATCTATCCTCGATTACGAATCAAGATGCAGATGCGTTGTCACCCGTGAGGATTAAGATGGAATGCCTCGTTTCCAGTATAATGGGTCTCCGGTTCTCTACACTCACCATATGAAACAGCAGTGTTAAGCTGCTATTTTACGCTGGTATTCTGTGAGAGCGTGGTCCTTCCCCGGTCGAGCCGATCCATTCGTGCTACAACTTTACTACTGATATAGCTGCAGCATGGCT